TAAGAAAGGGGACTCTGGAGAATGCAGTGGTAGCCTGGGCACAGAGAGTGCTGATGGAGCCTGGTTGAGAGCCAAGTGCTAAACAACAGGAGCTTCTCGTAGGTGCTCCTGGGCTCTTGCACATGGAGCCTGCAGTGGTGCACTGTGCATGCAGTTGAGAAACATATCAGGAACATGGCTTTTGGCAAATACAAGCCGAGCGATTATGGGGACCGGACAAGCTGAGTATAAGACACAGCAGCAGGAGGTGAGAATTCAAGCAGAGGGTGGACAGAAACATGGTGAGGAAGACATTTGAAGACAGATCTGGATGGGATTCAAATATTTATTGGAGGCCATAGAGGAGAAATGTTGTGGTGGAGTCTGTCTCAGGACCTCTCTAGGATCAGTCATGCCAGTCCATCTCAGGTTAGCTCAGGTGAAAAAACACAGTTTATTGATTTATCTAATTGGAAGTTTCAAACTCTGAGTGTAATTGGATCCTGAGGTGGGTTCCCAGTGCCCTCCTCTGTTCCACAGCTAAGTTCTACTTGGCCTCTGTGCGAGCTCACCTTGAGACAGGCTGTGTAAGCCGAGGATGACACTTGGTGTTTGCAAAATGAAGCATCCTCACCGTAGCAGCTCCCAGAGGAGGAGAGGAGAGTGGCGCTTCCAGCCTGCCACTGATCCTCTGCTAGGGTTGTGTGTCTGCCATTCTCGTGCTGATGAATAGCAAGTGTGTGTGGTACCCAACTGACAGCCTCAGTCACCCGGCCACTCTTTCCATGCCAAGGGAGGCTGTGTTTGAGAGCCTGACCAGGTCACATGAAGTGAGGGGGAGGAGCATCCTCTGAATTTAAAATGCCAGGCTGACACAGGGCAACACGGGCCTCCTACCAAGGGATAATTTAGGAAAATGACCCAGAGCTATAGAAAAGGTCAAAGAAATCAATTCTGTGAATGGAAAGACAAAAGGAAGACATCAAGCATTTAAAGTAATAAATCTGGGCATTCCTGTGAAAGAAACCAGAATTGCTATTTGCAGATAAGATTAATTATCTTTATCTGTTGTTGAAAGGACAGAGCCGATCATCTTGGTACGTGATAAATGTATAAAGCTCCTGATCATATTGTGCAGGGCCTCTAGGAGATAACAGAGTTTCTATATTCCTCCATAGGTTTCGTGAATGGAAGAATATAGCATCTTCTCTTAGGAAACACATAAAATACTGTTGAGATAGCATTTTGCCCCTAAAGCATTTTATAGTGTGGATGAAATGTCCGTTCAAACTTGAGTTGTTTTTTTGCATGGTTTACTACAACAGTTCTTCTACTCACTAGCAAGAACAAGTTGTTAAACATGAAGAAAACATGTATAATAGAAGAGTAATAAGAGAACTGACTTAATGGGTATCAAGGGAGATTTGAAAAAAAAAAAATCCGTACAGTAATACAATTAAGAAATGTGGTGGTGAGACACCAAACAGGTTATCCTTAATGTACCAGATGAGTAGTCTAAAAGGGAGACCATTCCAACAATTATTTTTTCTCATCCTTCCCTCCTTTTCATCTTCCTTTTTTCTTGTTGTCCTTCTCCTGGTTCCTTCTTTCTTCTTCATTCCTCCTCTGATCAACTACTGATCAATTAAGCTTGTTTTCATCCTGATGTTTTCCAGGACTTCTTTTCTTTCTCCTTACTCAGAATAATTTTATGTAACACATATTGTCATGGGAGGATTGAAAGTGGAGACCAAGCACTGTTCCATTATGGTTAGCATTGAAAGTTTGAATTTATATAAGGGTACTGCAGAAAGTTTATGGACATTATCTGTTTTGTTGCTGTTGTAAGATTTATTTTTTATTTAAAAGTCAGGAAGTCAATTAGAGATCGGTCTTCTGCTGGTTCACTCCCCAAAGGGCTGCAGCAAAACTTGGAGCAAGGAACTCTGGGTCTTCCGTGTGAGTGGCAAGTGGCTCAATTACTTGGGCCAAGAGCTGAATCGGAGAAAGGACATCCAGAATTTGAACTGGCTCTCATATGGGATGCTAGGAATTACAGACAGTAGCTGTGCCATAGTGCCATCCCCTATTTCCTGTTCATAATTTCCTAAATGATGCCAGATAGCAATGATTTACAAACCATTTTCATCGTGTTAGGTATTATTAGTACTCTAGAGATGACAGTATCTATAGGAAGATGTATGTAGATTCTATACATGCCCTACACTAGTTTCCCCTTGGGATTTGGGCATTGGGGGATTTGGGAGTGTGTAGGGGTCCTAAAACCAGTTGCTTCTGGAGACTAAGGGAAGAGGACGTACAGACCGTGTAGACCTTGATTCCATTTTGTGTCCCTTCTTGGGTTCTGGCAGCTGGCAGAAGGACCACACAACACCTGTCAGAGTGGTTCATGTGTAGAAGAGAGGTCAGCCCCTAAGGAGACCACATCCCATAGGTGCTCAGGGCTTGGCTGATGGGGGAACTGGGAGATCCCCAACATTTGTTCCTGGCCGGAACAGCTAGAGTCCCCAAGATGTGCCCTGTGAGGAGTCTGCCGCACTCTTCTCCTGTGTGGCTCCGCGGTGTCCTCTTGTTTGAATTTGCAGCTCATGTCAATCTTAATATTTGTTTTGAGTCACATATGCCGGCCTCTAATTTGCAATTTACATGGATGATGGGGCCCTATTCAAAGCCCCTCCTGCTGCCTTTGTGCCTTCATGTCTCTTCACACAGCCATTAGGCTGAGCAGCATATAATTAGGTAACCCGTGTAAAGCTGCGGGCCCTGAAAGGTTGCGGTTCTTTTCAAAAAGTAAGGGTTTCCATTTTTACCCTCATTCTTTTCTGAACAAAAAGACATTTCCACCCTGTGGTTTTTTATATGAATGTAGCAACTTAGAAGCAGTTCATCTTGTAGGTGGGTGATAATGTTGGTTTGTTTTCACGTGAGAGCCAGCTTTTGTTTACATAGCTTGGGTTAACTCAGCGTTGGCTCGGACTGAGTTGCCATCATTTGTGGCTGAGTATGCTGCTTGTTGAAGCCAATGAAATTGGCTGATTTAAAAGTCCCTAATCATTGAAAATGCACCCAGCAAAACAACTCCGTTCCCAGTTTATTTTTACATTTCTTTTCCTTTTTTTTTCTTTATGAAAAAAAAAAAAACTGAAAATTCTTATAGAGGTAAAACCCTTGGAACTGTAAATACTGATGAGAGCAGATCTGCTGAAATGAAGTGAATTGTGTTTAAGCTATGTTCACTTGTCACACACGTGGAGTATAAAGGTCATTTTAAAATAATGGTGGTGGTGGGACAGATGTGAGCTCAGACAAGAGTAAATAGATGCATATACATTGCCTTATTGCATTAATATATATTGTCATATTGAAATGATCTAAGGCATGGATTGCCTGTTGAAGTACTAATGCACTATCATATCTTAGATCTAATAATTAATTTTCAGAGAAGTAAGGAAGAGGGATTTTTTTGAAATTCTGCAGAGCTGAAAGGCTTAGTTCACGGCAATCAGCTAGGGAAGTCGTTGACATCAGATTCTGGGGTCACTTTTACCACATTCTGTAATAGGTGAATGTGGAGGGACCTCAGGAATCTTCAATTTTAGTAAGGACCCAGAGATGGTGCCATTGTAGAAAGTTTGCTGATGGCATCAGAAATACTTGCTTGGTATAAAAATGTAATTAATGTCAGTAGCTTGAGTTTGAGGCTCTGCCCCCTTCCACATGCAGCTACTACTCATGTACATCCTAGGAATCGGCAGGTAATAGCCCAAGTGCAGAGCTTCTTGCCTCTCATGCTGGGCAGCCTGGGTTCTGCGTTCATATGTCCCTGACTGCTCTAGGTATTTGGAGGGTAAACCAAACTATGGAAGCTCTCTGCTGCTCTCTTTCTGCCTCTCAAATAAAATGGAAATAAATCAGTTATTAAAAAAAAATAAGAAGTGAGCAGATTGATGAGATAGTAACTATTGGGCATTGTATCAACTAAGTTTTGGTGTTTCCTCCCTTTTGTCAGTTGAGTAACTGTAAATGATCAGTGTGATGTACATTTAGCAGAATTTATATTTTGTTCTTTTAATGTCTAATTTTTGTCCTTTATTTTGATTATGTCTCACATGCATTCATAAAAGAGAATATTCCCTCAAGTAACTGTTATGACTCTGGGAGGTTCTTGTCATCACAGTGGTATTTGTTAGATTATAAAACCACAAGTAACTGCTCATGAACATTTGGAGAGTTCTGTCAGAAAAGGGAAAGAACAGTGTAGTTGAGAGCGAAAAGAGGAAGCTCCCAGAATTGCACTGTTCCTTCATACTCAGGGAAAAGATTTCCAGTATTTGAGTGCAGGAGCTTATTCTGCGTCTGCTGCGGGATGAGACTGTATGATGGGCTGGCTGAACTCTTTGATGAGAATAATTGTGAATAATAAACACACACTTAGGTGCGAAGATGTCCTAATAAGTTGACCTACAAAATCCATTGAGATTGGTTTTTTGTGTCCTTTTCTTGGTTTTTTACTTCTTAGATGGTATTTATTCAGTTCAAATATGTAATGTTAATGTGATGCATGTGTAGTATAAGAAATTAACGTATACATAAGTGTGTACATGTTGTGTGCTGTGTGGCTATTTGGCCTGGTGGTTCAGATGCCAGTTGATAGGCCTGCGTCACGTAGCAGGATAGCTGGGTTGGAGTCTTGACTCGAACCCCTTCCTCTGGCTTCCTGTTAGTGCAGGTCCCAAGCGAGCAGTGGAGATGGTTCATGTCCCAGCTGCTCACTGGGAGACTTGGATAGAATTCTAGTTCTCAGCAGCAGACCATTGTTAGGCATTTGGAGAGAGTGAACCAGGCCATGTGAGTTCTGTCTGCCTCCCAAATAAATACACAAATGTTGAACATAAGGAACATAAATGATTGAAGCTGAGTAGCCTGTCTCAGACAACACAGTAATTGCTATGTGAAAGTACTAATTTCCTCTTTTCTTCCAAAACTTTGTGTTTGACCAGGTTTCTTATAGGAAGGATGTACAGGACACCCACACGTACAGTGCGGAACTTGACAGACCAGATATCAAGCTGGTAACTCAGCTCTCCAAGATCGTAAGCAATGTAATTTGCCTTTGTTTATCTTGAGCAGAAATCACCAAAGACTTTTTTTTTTTTTTGCGGGACATACAGTCCTGCCGTGTGGTTGGATGTTTAATGTGATTAGGGTAATCCATCTGTGTTAATGACATCTCAGTTTTTCCCCTGAATTATCCATTTGATTCTGTAAATAATTCGGTTTGTATAGAAGCTGCCCAAACTTGACTTTCACTGTGCCCAGTGTTATTATAATTCTAGAACACTAAGTGCTGTTTGGGTGTGAGATTGTAGTCAGTGGTCTCAGCCTGCAAGTCAAGACTGTTGGTCATCTGGACCCTTTAGTTTCTTGTCCCAGCATGTTTTCCAGAATCTTCTTAGCCTGTTCTCACAGGTACTGATCATGGTGCTGATTTTCCTCCGCCAGTCCTAACCTTTGTACATTTTTCTGCAAGCTATTGTTGTTTTTAAAATCTTCCCTCAGACACACTTCTTAGGGAATTCCACTTAATTCAATTGTATCAAGAACTCTGGCTAAACATGATCTTTTAACTGGAACCAAAAATTTGAATGACAGGATAAATATACCTTTAAAATCAAATCAGTAATTACTAAATTCAGCTACATGTTAATCAAAGATAAACCAGTTCCTGAAAATAAATAAAACCATAAAACTGTGTATTTGAAGGAGGTATATATCAGTTATCCAGAAACTTCCCCTATTGTTTTCAGTACTTACACATAAATTCAAAGATCATGGTGACTGGAGGGTTAGATTTCGTCCTTATTTTAGTGCAAAAAGTTGAGTTTATTTATATAGCAACAGAACAAAAAATCAATACCTGCTTTAACTGTCAGCATTTTAATATATGATATGTTGTAAAGATAATTTTTAGTGAGTTCACATTCATTTTTTAGCTAATGTCAATGTAAGTCTCCATTGGTAAGTGCAAATACTGAACCTTCTCTTATTTATTCATTTTAGGCAGAGTATAAGAAAGGACAGGGGATAATGGATAAAGAGCCTGCTGTAATTGGAAGACCAGATTTTCAACATGCTGTGGAAGCTTCTAAACTTTCTAGTCAAGTAAGACTGTAAAAATGATTCTACAATGACTGCATTCAGAGGTTTCGTTTCTACCAACACAGGAAAATATTTCGCTTTTGATAATATCTCTAATGGCAAGAATAAACAGAGATAATGTGTCTGAAACAATTTGATATAGAATCGTCATAATGACAAATATCTGAAGGAAAAAGTGAAATCGAATTTTAAACAAGTTTTTTTTTTTCCCCTCCAGTTTCAAATCTGAATTTCTTTCAGTGAGTTTGGCTATGTTGTCACATTTTCCCAAAATTTCCAAAAATTAGCAGTGAACACACTAAACAATTATATTTCTATGAACCTCTTCCCCACAATTTTAACTTAGTAACACAGTTACCCATTTTTCCAATTTTCAAATGGTTTAATCACAAAATTGAAACGCTATGACAAAACAAAAAACTTTAAAGTTTTATTGAAGAGCATAAAAGAAAGTTCAAGTAACTGTAAACTTATTTGGCTGAAACACTAAATATATATATATTTAAATATATATATTTATGTATATATATATATATAAATTTAAATTCTCCCTGGATTACTGTGACAGTATCATGAGATTTCAGTTAGCATCCAGATTTAAAAAAAATTATCAGTAAAGTGACCTTAACCTTGAAAAGTATGGAAATGAGGGTCAGTGCAGTAACATTATGAGTTACCAGCAACTAGCAGGGACCAACTGAAAGGAAGCTGAGGTGGGATTGGTATCATGAGAGAGAAAGTAATCAGTAGAATAGGAAGTGCTGAAACACATTCCAATATGTTTAAGAATGTAGTAATATGATAAGTATGAACTGAAATTAGAAGGTTGGATCGGTTAGTGAACGGTGCTGACCATAACTCACTGCCCATCTTCATAAATACAAAATTGGACCTTAATTTTGAACCATATTAGAAAAATAAATTCCAGGTGGATTAAAAATTAGAATGCAAACAATAAAATAGTTTTAAAAAGAAAATCCTGGAGAGTTTATATATTACATAGGAGTAACAGAATTGTTCTTTAAACAGCACTAGAGATCCTGAGATACAGAAGAGTTTGGCACGTTGACTATATAAAAATTAAAACTTTTTCAGTGGCGAGACTTACATTTGCAAGATTACCAATAATGCTATCCAACAGTAATTGTGTATTTATTTATACTGTTTTCAGTTTTCAAAATATGTATCTGTCAAGTTGCAAGTGTCTTAATGGCTTTACATCTTAAAGTGGAGAGACGTAGATGGCGACAGGGACCTACTGATGCACCAGAGATTGGGACCATGCTGGGATGACATTCTTGCCACGTGAACTGTGGCTCCCAGTTCCTCTCAGCCCGACTAACCCTGGGGAAAGAGAGGGCAGAGCGGTACTATTTAGCTGTCTAGTAAAACAGCATGACTTCTTACCATGCCACCCTCTCCTGGGGACACAGCTGTCCCTTGAATTGCCTCGGAGGGGAAATCATCTGGAATGAGTTGGTGGTTCAGAACTTTGGTTCTGCAGCAGGATTGCCTGGAGTAAACTTCCAATTGTGTTCTTGCTAGTACAGTGAGAACTTAGACAAAGAATTTAATGTCTGCATCTTCAGTTTCCTCATCTGGACAATGGAGAGAGTACAGCTGCTGCTTACGGTTTCTGAGAGTTAATTGGCTTGGGGTCAGTAAAAGCCCTTGGTGCCTGTGGATCTGACCTGGTGGCTAAGGTGCTAGCTAGGATGTGGTGTCCCACGTCCGAGTACCTAGGTTTGAATCCTGGCTCTATCTTCTGACTCCAGCTTCCTGCCTGTGCAAACGCTGGGAGGCAAAGGTGACTCCTTTGCAATTCTTGCCAAAATGTGCAATAACCATATGAAAATCATGCAGAATTTTTTCATACTGTATGTTTCCATGAACTTTCTGCAGCCCTTCCATATGAAAGGATTTCAGTGTGTTTTTTTTTTTTTTGGTAGCAGAATAAACTAATCTTTTAATTCCACTTTCTGTGAGCCTTTGGAATTTCCCTCACATGTGCATATTTTAAATGTTGCCTTCAGTCACCACATAGTGAACACTTTGGAGACAGCTCAACACCTTTGATCTTGCAGAATGTCACATGTTAGGCTGCCCATCAATGTATACAGACTGGTTAAGCAAATTATCTCTCAGTCATTAACATTGGATGCACAATCAGAAAGATGTTATCTTGTGAAGAAAATAAGAGTGGAAGTATTTTGTGCAATTCAAATGTAAAGATATTAATGTGTTGATGAGTTATATAATATCTTTACTCCCTTCACTGACAGTTTTTCATTTCAGTCCCAATTTGAAGGGAATTGATCCTTATGTTCTTTGCTTACTTTTCACTTCAAAGATAATGAAGATATATTTACCAAGTTTTCCATTTCTTTTATGACATTTGTGTGTTCGGCTGTGATGAAAGTTTGAATTCAGGGTCTACTTGTTTTCTGCCATTGCTGCTCTCAGCACTCTCTCGGTGAAGGACAACACTCCTGGGCTTGGCAGTCAGCTTCCTACCATGGGCACTGCTCTGTGCAGACGCTGTCATGAGGAGCTGGGGTGAATGAAGTCCTCATGGCTTCACTCTTAAGTGTGAGCCTCCAGAATCCCAGCTGAGAAGCTCTTGGCTTTGAACATATAGCTCTATCCTATGTTTTATTTTTTGAAAGTAGCCACTGTCAGGATCTTTGAGCACAATATTTGTAAATGTAAATAAAGTTGCTTGTGTGGTGTGAGTTTTCATATCTACTTCCAACACAGCTAAACTATGTGTAAAGGAAAGTGTGGTTTTTTTTTTTTAACTGTGCCTATTCCTCCCTTTCTCGAATGGTTTTAAAACTGGAGGGATGTATTGTGTTCCCACAGTCTGATAACCAGTTATGGATAAGAAAAAATATTGGCCAGTGACTCAGGAGATGTGAGGATGAATGAGGAAGGAGACATTCCGGTGTGTGAACTAGAGCTTGAAAACAGGACAGAATGTGGAAGTGTGTGTGTGTGTGTGTGTGTGTGTGTGTAAGACAGAGAGACAGAGAGAGAGAGAGAGAGTGTGTTTCCACTCAGAAGGTGAGAGATGTGGTCTACTTAAGCCATGTGGTTGCTTCCTGAGGTCTTGTTCCAAACAGAGCTTTTAGAAAGAGTGAGGTAAGAAACGGTTGATGCCGTTGTCTGGCTAATGTATTTTCATCTCATGCAGTTATTTTATGCTGTGGTTAGTCAATGAGGGGGTGTCTCAGGTTTCTTCCTCCTTAGTTATCTTTTGCCGTCTTTTGAGTCAAATTGCTCAGTCACAACATCTGGATTGTTGCTGTATTCAATATAGGGATATGAGTGGCAGATTGATAATACTTTCTGCAAGTATCCTTTTACTCAGAAGAACAAATGCCAGGTTTAATAGCAGATAAAATTGCCTCTCCTCCTGGGGAGCTCATGTTGGCAACCCCAAACTGTACAGAAAACAGTACCATGCATTTCTGCAGGCAAAGAACATTCATTCTGTTTTTGGCATTTAGCTAATAGCTAACTAAGAGACCCTTGATGCCTGTGGCTGGAGAATAGGAATATATGAAAGGCAACCTGATGTGAGCCAGCACTTTGTAGCTGGACAAGTTGTGGGATTCCATTAGATATCAGCAGAAAGTCTTGTTCACATGGTGACCAGCAGTGAGAATGTGTCGGTAAGCACAGGGTGTTGGTGCATGTGGCTAAGGCAAAGTATTGTTCCAGCACCAGTCAGACTGCTGTGGGTGTCCAGTGAGAATCCCTTAGGGCTCAGGGCTGGGGAACAGCCAGTCTGCATGCAAGCCATGGAGGCCTGGGAAATTCTTAGATCTAGCCCTGTCAAGGCAACTACATCCATAGTAGGCTAATTTAAACGTTGATAGTTTTGTGTGACCTGTGAATGGCGTTACAAATATCCAAAAGATCTCTGGGCAGAAACAATTTCTCCACCTTAAGAATGGAACCGCAGTTAAAAGAGGGGTTGTACAAGGGAGCAGAGTGAGTTGTGTGGTTAGGGGAGGACCCAAGTAGGATATACTTTTGTTTTGAGGCTGGCTATTTGTATGAAATTTCTATTTCTATTCAGGACAGCCTAAAATAGTAATGATTGTGAAAAATCGGTGTTTTTCTTGTTATGATTGGTCATGCCAATTAACCAATTACTTTTAAAAGATTTGATTATCTGAAAGGCATTTAACGGGGGTGGGGGGAGAGTGATCTACACACTGGTTCGTTTCTCAAAGGCCCACAGCTGCCCAGGCTCAGCCAGGCCAAAGCCAGCAGCCTCAGAGGTCCAGCTGCCTCTCCCAAGCGCTGGGCCATCATATACCGCCTCCTCAAGTGCATTAGCAGAAAGCTAGAAGTGGAGGAGCAGGGTCTCCAACTGGGCTCCAGTGTGAGCTGTGGGTACTGCAAGAATCTGCAACAACACCCCTGTGTCCGTGAATTGACATAAATGTATAAGGCAATGCAAACTTGAGAAGCTTCATATCAGACAGAACGACAGCCAAAAATAGCTCCTGGGAACCATCTTGAGATGTTTCCCAATTGCCGTGCCCCTACCAGGATTCCACCAGCTGCCTGCCATGCGTAACAAGCCTGCCTGGAGGAGACCCACCCTGCCCACGCTCAGTTAGTTCAGATGTTGCAAGCCTTTCCGCATTGCCTTCCTCACCAGAGCCTTCAGATGTCTCAGTGAACAAAATGCTCTAAGAACTTGGAATATGTCAGAACCTTGGAAGGAACTGAAACACCCTGCTTTTTTTTTTTTTTTTTGTCTTTGGAGCTTGTGCAACCGTCCTTGGCTACAGGGGTCAGAGGGTATGTATGTAGGGGTTTTCAGTAGGTCAAGCAACTAAAAATATACACCCCAGTTAGTCATCATAACATACGTCCACATATTTCTCTGTCATGGAGGGGAAAAAACAGTTTTTACCTGACTTGTCTTAATCTACTTTAAAAAGAGAACAATAATTTAGAATGAATACTGACAGTGGTTTTGGGTTGAATCAATTGTGTCATTAAAGCAGAGAACTTAAAAGCTGACAACAAATAGGCTTAGAATTTAACTTCTAAAAATGAATTTTTCAACGAATGAACTTTGAAAAATGATGAGAAAAATAATGGTTACGAACCCTGACTCTTGTATGGAATGATTCCAATAGGAAAGTTCAGCTCAAATTCATGACAATCTGGGGCCTAGGGTCCGTTTTCAGAATGTGGCAGCCCTCATGACACTGAGCTCTCGGCTTCTAATTGATCATAGATGTTAACAGTACAGAAATGGAAAGTGACATTTGAAGATCTTGATATTTTAGTGCATAATTCTTGCTAATAGGACTTGAGTTCATGCCTAATTGCATTTATGATCAATGTTTAAGTAGAGGTTTTTTTAAATTTAATATTACGCCTAATTAAGCTTTATGGCTGGAGTAGATAACCAGGATTCAAACTTTGCTGGTATTCATTTTCAAGGTAGTTTTTATTTGATCTGCTTGGAAATCAAATGTTACTTTTAAATGCAAATATGCATTTAATGGATCCTATTTTTTTCATGACAGATTAAATACAAAGAAAAATTTGATAATGAAATGAAGAAGCATCACTACAACCCTCTCGAAAGTGCCTCTTTCAGACAAAGTTGGTTCGCCACTACCCTGGCAAGTGATGTGAGTTGTGATTCGGAGACAATTATTCTCAATGTCTTTTGATTCTTGTTTTCTTAGAATTGACTGTGTTGTAATTACCAATGCTTAATTAAGATCATGTAATTTCCAAGTAATTAGTCGTTGAATACAGTAAAGCACATTTTCCTCAAGTTTTTTTTTGACAAAAAAATCTATTATCTTAATTAACTATTAATGGTTACTGATGACTAATTAGTTAGTAAGCAGAAATAGAATTGAGAATAAAATTATTATGTCTAATCAGGAGCAGAAATGTATTACGAAGCTTGCAGAGAAGAAGTGTGTATTATCACAAATTAGCGGTGGGACAGCAGTCAGCTGAGGTCGCTATGCCCATGGGAAATGGCTTTGTTGGAAGGAACCACCTGGCACATCAGGGGTCATCAGAGAAAGTTTTAAAAGGTTTTATCAGAGAAATCATCTTTACTTTACACACAAAGAATTTTTTGTGAAAGTACTTCTGTGAAATACTTCGTAAGATTCCTGTTTCTTAAAGGCAGCCAGGCTTCATTCCCCAAGCAATAAATGATGTCAGTTCTTATGGAATTAGACAAAGCATAGATAGAACATCTTTGACAAGTTGATCTCTTTGCTCTGTCAGGTGGGAAAACTTTAACCCTTCCACTTGCAAGTCACCTTGAGACTTAATCTTGATTTCATTCATGTTTAGTAGGTATTGATATTCGTATTCAGTAATAACTTATATTTGTCTCCAGACGTTAGAATGGGTGTTTTCTGTTTGTTTATTAGGAGCCATGGGAATGTAAGAATTTCTATTTTTTGTATTTGCTTAGTTTTGTATGTGTGAATAAAAAGCAAAGGAAGTAGATGAAGTGTATTTAAACAGGATTTTTAACGCTAGAGAATGGGCAGAATTTCAGTTTATAATCAGATTGCCTGTATCCAGGTCCTGTTCTTCCACCTCACGTCTTCCCTCCGCCTCTCGTTCCTGGACTTCCTCATCTGTGAAGTGGGGATATTTAAATTATCCACCTCTTAGGGTGATATGGGTTGGATACTTGGTAGAAATCATTATTGAGAAAAGTGTCTGGCGTGTAGTAAGTTCTCAGCATCTTTTCTATGTTTAACATTCTCTTGTTATGACAGTCTTGCTGATAATTAGATAACTTAACATTTTATTATTAGTAGTATTATTATTACATAGATTAACTTTCTGAAGCAGTTTGTTAAAAAAAATCTGTGAGGCAATAATGAAAAAAAAAAAAACTAAAAAGTCTAAAATAGCCAAAAACCACAATTAGAATACTGTAATAATTTCTCAAAGATAAACTATTCTTTTTATTTTTTCCAAAATTATTCAATTCTATTAATATCAGCCTCTCTGAATATGTAAGTAAAACAATTTATCAAAATATTTCCAGACCATTCAGATTACTTTTTTTACTTATTCAGTGGTTAGTCAGCGCCATCTACTGGCCGCTTGTGAAACCCCCGTTAATGTGCCACCAGACAGTACTACTTGATGTAGTGGTGCCAATGATGCAAAAGCCTATTTTCTTTTCCTAAACAGTGTTTTGCTCCGTATTATTTTTGTAGGTGAAGTACAAGAAAGACATTCAAAATATACATGATCCGGTTTCAGATCTCCCAAATTTGTTGTTTTTAGACCATGCTCTGAAAGCTAGCAAAATGCTGAGTGGAGTAAGTGGATTGGCAGTCCCTGTAGATGGCTTGTGGCTCGGGGGGAGCCGGTGTGCCTGCAGAACCCATGCGCTCACCTGCTTGCCTGCCCGTGGGTCACTCCTGCCCCAGGAACGCTCGCCGTGACAGGCAGTGGCCTGCTTGCGTGAATGCCACCAGGGCTGCTGCTTTACCCAGGGCTTCTTACCAGCTCTTGGGATCTTTTGAACACGGCTACACTTCTAAGTGTGTATGTGTGTGCACATTCCGACTTTTTCTTCCAGTGTTTCTTCAGCTGTGTTAGATGTACGCTTGGCGTCTAGAGCCGCGTGTCTTTATTTCCTGCTGGTGAGCCCAGCATGTCCAGTGTGCCTTCCCACAAGGCGAGCTGCTCAGAGCTCCCACCCGCCTGGTTGCTGTGCCTCCAGTCCCCGACCTCACCTTGTCCTCAGAACTCCTGGCCCTGGGTCTCATAGAGCAACTTCTTGTCCGTCTCAGGCAACTCTGTGGTGCCAATGAACTGAAGCTTCGCTCCATGTGACTTCCATTCCCATCTTGATAACTACACACTGAAAATCATCCTGATTTGCCTTCTATTTTGAACAAGGTGCAGATTCCATGGAGAGTACATGGTGCTCAAAACTTGAAAAAAAAATGCAGGCAGTGGCATTTTGTTATGAAGGGGTGTTTTCTGAAAACCTCTAAATGTTTTTAGTCTACATCAGAATTCCTTTCATTCCCATGTGAGTGTGTTAAGTGAAATAAATGCTTTATGGATTTACAGCTATTTAATCAAAATTTTAAGGAAAGGGGCCTGGCGTGGTGCCTAGTGGCTAAAGTCCTTGTCTTGCAAGCACCAGGATTCCATACGGGCACCGGTTCTAACCCCGGCAGCCCCGCTTCCCATCCAGCTCCCTGCTTGTGGCCTGGGAAAGCAGTAGAAAATGGCCCAAAACCTTGGAGGAGGCTCCTGGTCCTGGCTTCTGATTGGCTCAGCTCTGGCCGTTGTGGCTACTTGGGGAGTGAACCATCAGATGGAGCATCTTCCTCTCTGTCTCTCCTCCACTTTGTATATTGGGCTTTCCAATAAAAATAAATCCTCAAAAAAAAAATTAAGGAAAGATTTTCTGGAGGTGTAGCTCTTGTAGTTTCCCATCTGTTTTCTAACTACGTAAATCGAGCTCTATATTGTGTTACTCTGTGAAGCTTCCACTAGGCGGCAGCAGAGAATAAGAAAAAAAAAACAAGTGTGGGCATCCGAAGTTTGAGTATCCTAGTCCAAATAGGTATTGTGTTAATGTTCTGTTTACTTTTTCACATGGGATTTCTGAAATATTTTATAACTTAAAAGGAAAATTATACTGGAGAGCCTTTTCTTGATCTTTCTTAGTATGCGTCTGCTTTTCTGAATCCTAAGGTGACTCAGCATGTCAGACTTCTCTGACTCCAGATTTGAATTCAGGGCCGGAATTTGTTCTGGTTCCTTACCTTCAAGCCACAGCTATCTGAATATGTATTATCAAATAACTGTTGATTGTGTCATAAAGTCTTCAAGAATGTTATCTCTCAGGGTTTTGATTGTTTGTTTTTAGATTTGTGTAGAAGCCAACAGTCAGATTTCGTTCTCTTTGGCCAGGAGGTGCTGTGTGGACATTTTCCTCCCTGTGTTGTGGTTAGAGTCCAGAGGTCACTCGTCTTTGCTCCCTGGTTGGCAGGATGCCCTTTGGGGCTGGGTTTTCTCTGTACCCAGTTTTGGTTTCTTCATCTTTCATGGAGCAGCCCCTCTTGTGTGGCAGGCCATTTGGATCTAACCTCTTCACTCCCAGATTCCTGGGGTGTGGCCAGCTCTGTTTTGCTCCCCTTCAGCTGCTGCGTATGTCTCCTCCCACTCTTTGCAAAATGCTCTTTATTTTTTGCTTTTGCTGAAACCCATTGCCTAATGAGCAATTAATTTTACTGTCTGAAATCTGGTTGAGCTACTCATTACATCTAAAGTATTTTCCAAATAGGGCCAGACAACTCGGTGTCCTGTCACCTGTGATAGGAACCATAGGGCAATTTAATTCCTGCTGTGTTTAGAGTCCTACCGTTTCCTTTCCGGGCCATTCCATTCCCTTCCAAATTCTCCTTTTTGTCTCTATGTCTTCGTAGTAGCCTCAATTCAATCTGTTTTCCCTAAAAATGCAATTCAGATTATACTCAATGCAGGTAGTTCTTTAGTCTGTCTTCCAAGCACCTCCTACCATTTCTCCTTGCAAAAATCAGAGTATCTCCCGTCCTCTTGTTTTCTCTGCGACCGCAGATCTTCTTCAAGGGCGAGCCTTTCTGGATGAGAGTTTTCCGGTTTGCTTACTCGTGCTTCTTGCTTCTCTCCCGCGGGCACTGAGAGATGTGCCCCCAGCAGTGATGCAGCAGGAAGCCTCACTATTACCTGCCCGCTTCGCTACTTGCATGGGTGCCATCGCCACTAGCCCATTGCCGCTCCCTGATGTGTGAGTGTTGTTTGGGCTGCGTTAGCCCAGTGAGCAGCTGGAGCTGTCGATGGAAGCTGGAAGCTGTCCGTGTCTTCTGTGTGTGTCAGAAATCGCCATGCTTGCTGACCACAAGAGTCGACTCACAGCTTTTCAGTTCTTGGTGGCTTGTATTGCACAGTTTGAATTTCTAAGTAATATAATTGCTGAGTCTTCTTTCTTCTAATTGTACCTTCGTGTTCTGTATTTAAGCGTGAATATAAAAAACTTTTCGAGGAAAACAAAGGCGTGTATCATTTTGACGCAGACGCTGCAGAGCACCTGCACCACAGAGGCACTGCCACCCTCCAGAGCCAGGTATGCAACCAAGGGGCCCTGCGCACACCGTGGTGCCCGCTGCTCCCTGCTGGGACCCTCCACTGAGAATGTGCAGTTGCTGAAAAGAACAGATTTTGATGGAGTTATTATTTTCTGTATGTTTGCTGGCAGGGATGGGGACTGTCTTGGGTGTCGACCTGTGGAGGCAACCATAGGCAAGATTCCGATGGTTTTATAGCAGGCCAATTTTTTAAGTTGCTGATTTTCTATGACCTGCACACTATTTGTAAAACATGCAGATAGCCCTCTCAGAGCAAAGGCTTCTCGTCTCTGGTTTGCTGATTCAAGGGAACTTGGCCCTGTATCCATCTGAAGGCATTCCATTAAAAACGGTCACGTTCCTTGATTCGAGTCTGCAATGAGGGAATTAGCTGAGTGATGGTCAAATCTCGTTCCGATTTAAATTTTATAGTGTGCTAATTTGTATTTTTGAGGTACAGAATTTGTTAGTTGCCAGCTTTGTTGTAATGTCTTGGCTCAAGTATCAGTGTTATCAAAGAGTGAAAAATGATCTTCCCACCATATTCTACATTACTGTTTCTTCCACCGATAAAACTCTATCTGCCCCTGGAAAACCTTGAAGAAACATCTATGTAATGGAACATTAAAGCCTGTTTCCATTTTTAAGTTCTGAGTTGAGATCATTGTGAAACATATCATTTTCAGCATCTGTTAAGATAAAATTTTACCTCACTCTTTTAAATAACTGTGTGAAGCGTGGATTCCTTAATGAGTTTATATCCAATGTCATTTACATGAAAAGCATACAAAATAGCCCCCTTTGAAAATTGAGAAGTATGCATCATTTTTTTTTCTTTTCCAATTTTCTTGAAGATTTAGTTGCTTATTTGAAAGGCAGAGTTACAGAGATGAGGTGGGGGAGAGATGGAGCCAAAGAGAAATCTTGTAGCCGCTGGGTTACTCTTGGAGTGGCTGCAAGAGCAGAGCCCTGGGGAGAAGCTGGGAGCCTGGTTCCGCAGCCACATGAGTGGCAGGTGCCCAAGCCCTCCAACCATCTTCTGCTGCCTTCCCAGGTGCATCAGTAGAAGCTTGATTGGAAGCAGAGCAGCCAGGAGTCAGACATGCATTCTGATATGGAATGCTGGTGTCTTACGTAACATACCATACTACTGTCCCGCATATTTGGTATATTTGAACCACAAAGTTATAAGTATTGAACGGTATCTTTCAGATTAAATTTTTATTAGTATCACCATTATTATACAACTTACATAATTTTAAAAATAATGTTTAAATATAAAAATTCCAATGATCGTGTGTTTTCTGAATGGAATAAATCATGATAAAAACTTTCCCATGAACATCATTTAAGAAGGTATATTGCCCCAAAGCCAAACACTCTGATAGCTGACATGTGGCTTTAATTTCTGTTATCTGGCTTTAGAAAATATTGCTAATTGGAGTGAGTATTTAACCTGTTGGTTAAGATACCCATGCTCCTGGCCCGGAATGATACCTCTGTGGCTACATCCTCACCTTGCATGGACTGGGATTCTATATGGGCACTGGTTTGTGTTCCAACTGCTCCCACTTGCCCCTCAGCTCCCTGCTTGTGGTCTGGGAAAGCAGTGGAGGACGGCCCAAAGCCTTGGGACTCTGCACCTGAGTGGGAGACCTGGAAGAAGCTCCTGGCTTCAGATCGGCTCAGCTCCAGCCATGTTGGCCATTTGGGGAGTGAACCAATGGATAGATCTTTGTCTCTATTCTCTCTGTAAATCTGCCTTTTCAATAAAAATAAAATAATTTTTTTAATGAACCCATGTTCCATGTTGGAGTACCTGAATTTGATGGTTGGATGTGACTTTCTATCCATGTAGACCCTGAGGTAAAACAGGGACCGCTCAAGTTAACAGGATGCCTGTCATTCCCAGAGGAGACCTGGACAATGTTCCCAGCTCCTGGGTTGGCCCTTGCCCTCCTCTGGCTGGCCCGGGCATCCAGGGGTGAATCGGTTGATTGGAAGTTGCTCCCCTGTCTCTTCATGGTCTCAATAAATGAAAATGTTGCTCATTTTATGAGCTGAAATGAGGTCAGAAATAAACTGTAGTTGAAACAAATAGTTCACAATATGCTATTACCATACTTCATTGGGAAACAGAAAGAAACCACAGAGAATTGTGTGTGGATATGTGTGTGTGTTTTGCTGGTGGTTGAAAGAACATTGTTATGGGACCCTCCTGAATACAAAACTCCATGGCTGTTCCAATACCATATAAACTGGTATAGTATTTGCATATGACCATTGCAAACTCTCCCATACATTGTAAATAATCTCCAGGTAACTTAAAATACTCACACAATGTAAATACTGTGTAAGCAGTTGTCATACTCCATTGTTTTGGAAATAATGCCAAGAAAATAAAAGTCTGTACAATGTTCAATACAGATGCAGATTTCCCCTTAAATGTATATTATTTTTTGTTTTATGGATTTGAAGTTTATTTATTTTTATTACAAAGTCAGTTATACAGAGAGGAAGAGAGAGAGAGAGGAAGATCTTCTGTCCTTTGATTGACTTCCAAAGTGGCCACTGCGGCCAGAGCTGAGCTGATCCGAAGCTAGGAACCAGGAACTTCCTCCAGGTCTCCCACATGGGTACAGGGTCCCAAGGTTTTGGGCCATTTTCTACTGCTTCCCCAGGCCACAAGCAGGGAGCTGGATGGGAAGCAGGACTGCCGGGATTAGAATTGGTGCCTATATGGGATCCTGGTGCTTGCAAGGCAAGGACTTTAGCTGCTGGGTTACCGCACCAGGCCCAAATGTGTGCATTTTTTATTTGAAAGGTAGATAAACAAACACACTCACAGAAATCTTCCATCCAATGGTTTTATTCACGAACTGCCCAAAACAGCCAGGGATGCGCTTGGCTGAAGCCAGGAATCTGGAACTCAACTCAGATCTCTCATGTGGATGGCAGGGACCCAAGTGCTTGAGCCAATACCTTCTCCCAGGGTGTCTGTTAACAAAAAGCTGGAGTCAGGAGTCAGAGCCAAGACTAGCATCAGGCGTTCTGATGATATGGGATGTGTCATCCGACAGTTTCTTAGCCATTGAGCCAAACACCAAATGGCAATTGAACCACTGAGCCATTGTCCTGCCCCAAGTATTTCTGGTCTGTGTTTGGGTGGATCCAAGAATGGGAAGCCTTTGCATATGAAAACTGAATGTATATGATACATATCTGTTGACTCATCCATTTTGCAAAATACTTTATATAAGGCACATAATTTTATTGTAAATGGTGTTTGTCCTGGAGACATTTTAAAGACATTTCCTGTCTACTTTCTTCAACTGTGTGGAACATACTGATCAGTCTGAATGTCCAGAATTATTTGATTTATGAGCATAGAATGGTAACTGCTAGACTGCTGTGTTTGAACACGGGCATTTGGTTTTCACATGCTCCTTACATTTGTTTTACGGAAGGTTAAATACAAAGAAGAATACGAGAAAAACAAGGGAAAATCAATGCTTGAATTTGTTGAGACACCATCTTACCAGGCTTCAAAAGAGGCACAGAAGATGCAAAGTGAGGTAGGAATGGCTTGGGGACCAGTTCTTAATGTGCGTTGTGTGTTTGACCGTTTGAGATGAGCCTGTCATGTGAGTCACAGTGTTTGATGGTTGCTGGGTAAGGAGGAAGGTTCTGGCAGAGGCAGGGGCCTGTGTGGTGGATATGGGGTCTGGTTTAGTCAGCAGGTTGGCCTGGGTCTCAGTGTCTCCATGTGTTGAATAGGGATGTTAGCCCACAGAGGCCTTCCTCAACTGCAGATTCTATCAGCAACTCTTCCCAGTGTCGTTGGTGTAGACCTGTGAGGGGTCCGTGCCTACAAGCTAAAAGGAAATGGAAGAGCTGGCTGCCTCCGTCACCTTCTTGAGTTCTTTAACTTTCCTTTGCTTCCTTTCTTTTTGCAAGGAGGATGGAACTTAGATTGAGTAAATACTCTGTGGTAGGTAATGTGCTAATTGCTTTATTGATGTCATCTGATTGAATCCTTGAAGTAATGAAATCCAGAAAGTAGGTTTTTTATAATGTGTCAATTGACATTAATTATCCTAAAAAAATAGGAAATGCCCGTAAATGCCAGTGTTTGAGGATCTGCTCAGAGTCCTGAATGATTCCCTTTTCTCTCTTAGCTTATTTAATTGATGTATTTAATGCCCTCACTGCCATTAGTAGGTGAGAATTTCCTTTTATGTTTGTGCTCAACCTAGGACAATGCTCACATCAGATATTTTGCTCACTGGTGAGGTTTTTCTTTTCTCTCTGTTTTGTTCCTGTTCTTTTTTTTTTTTCTGAGACCAGAGACACACAGTTCAGTCTGCAGCTGATGTCCAAATTCTCTGGGTATGACTAAGTATTCAGGGAGACAGAGTAGTGGATAGTAGGATCAGCCTGTTCTATCCTTGGAGCTTCCTGCTAGGCTTGCAAAGTGGCCAAGTACATTGAAACAGGGAAAAATGATAATTACCGGAGAAAATCTCTCCCTGGAACTTTGTGAGCATACGTTTGTGTTATTTGCTGAAATATTATGACTCATCTTTATCAGAAAAAAGACACTCAAATTCTTGAGTGGTTCCTTGACGCGTCAGGGTTGCTTAATTTCTTTTTCATGTCGTATCTTCTTATGATATAAGGGAATATCTGAAAAGAGCTGTCAGATAATTATTTTGGCTATCTTAGCTCTTTGTTTCAACTGAATTGGCAGAATTGATAAGTTTGGCCAAAGTTCAGAAGCTCTACAGACACTTTTTATTGTGATGAATTACAATGGGGTACCTTCTTCTGCATGGAGACAGAAGTATGCAAAGCGTGTTACTCCTACATTTGTTGTCTTCCATTGCAGATGCTTTTCAGGTAGGCCAGAGCCAGCTGTGTGATCTGCTCCCTCATTTTAGGAGAGTGATGTGGTTGTTGTCACAGACTCATAGGCCAGAGAGCAGTTTCTGTTCTACAGAGTGGGCAGGTGCTTTCACAGCAGATTCTTGGCAAGTTTAAAATTCTGTGAAGTTGTTATTTTTTTTTTCACCAAATAATGCAGGATCAGAAATGACTTTTCTGAAAACAGCCCGGGGCGGGTACCTCCCAGGCTTCACCGTGCCCTGCTCTGCTCTCTCTCCTCATGCCCCCACTCACACCCTCCACTCCTGTCTTTGATTTTGGTTGCAGACGCATTCCAGCTGAGGACCGTTTTATCTGTCTGGTCTTCTAGCTCCTTAGTGATCTTTATGCCCTACTGAACTTTCCTGTCCCCACCAAATCCTGGACCTCAAGACTCATAGCTAATGTAGTCTGATGCCATGTTTCTGAATTAGAAATAACAGCAATTTATGATTTGTGATTTTAGCTCCTCACTTCTCATGATTGTTTTTCCTTTCTTACTCCAGTCGATCCTTCAACCTCTCCCAAGCGATGCACAGCTTTTTCCCTTTAATTGCAGCCGCTGACTATTGGGTGGCCTATAGGTTTGGCAATTTCTCGAAGGCTTCCTCATGGTGAAAATTGAAGAAGAGGAAGTCTTTGAATTTATGCTCTAAAAGCAAGAGAAATAAAGTGCCTCAAAAAAAAAATCTTTTTCAGGCATTTGATGTGAAAATGCTTTCACATATAGTACCGATGTAGGAGATATAAACAGAACCATCTGTCTTAAGGATGGATTTTATTCCTAAGGAGATAAGTTTGGGCATGTGTCTTGATGAGACTCCTAGTGGTAAAGCTAAGTATATGATCTCGGGAAAAGCCGCCAGTATCTTTGTTCTGGTCTGTAGTTGTACTTCCCTCATTTTCTTTTAAACCAGAAACAGGTTTAATCCCTTTATTTTTTAAAAGAAATCTCCAAGTCTGGCTTTGAAACTTTTTTTTTTGGTCTTTTGATTACAAATATAGCTGTCTTTAAAAAGCAGCATTGTTAGCTTTTATCACCACAAATCTAAAACGCCAGACGCAGGGAGTCCTACAGGAGGCTTTTATTCCAGCGGGACAGCATCCTTGAGGAGGGGGAGAAGGCAGAGAGCAGAGAACAGGGGAGAAGCACAGGGGTATGTTTTCATGGCCAGGGCACAGGGATTGGGAACACTGGGCTGTGAGGGTTGGTGGGTAGGGCCATGCGCAGGTACCAGGGACACAGGCCGTGAGGGATTGGTGGATAGAGCTGGCAGGGCCACGGGGGGGTGGGAATTGATAGATGTGGTGGTAGGTGGGTACTAGGGGGAGGGGCTGCAAGGGATTGGTGGATAACAGGGTTACGAGGTTACAGCAGTTTGGCAGAGAACAAAATTTCAACCTCAAGGGCGCAAGCTTTCGGAAGTGAACCACAGGAAGGAAACTGAAGCAGGCATGCAAGAATGATACGGGGGTCTAAAATGGTGGGGGTCAATCTTCCAGCCAGTGTTCTCAGACACTTCTCAAAAGCACCCCAAAGGTACTTTTTCTTTCTAGCTTTATCTTGGCCAGTTCCAGTCATAACCAACCTTCCTTAATGACCTGTCATTTTCTTCAGAAAAAAAAAAAGATGTTTAAATGAAATAGCAGTGTAAATGAGTGAATAAATATGCACATATGGATATTGCACTATCCAAAGACTCTTTGTAGACCTGGAAACTACTTAGATTCAACTTCTGTAGATACTGCATAAGAAAAGAGGACATTTTTCCTTATTGATTTTTGGTGTATCAACATTCATCTTAATTTCTGCTGGCTTGACAGAATGTCCGTGGTGGCCTTTCCTCATGGCTCTCACATGTTCTTTGTGGAATAGCCACACGGAGCATGTCTGTCCTGCTCACTGAGGAGCCAACTGCTTTCCTTCCCCTCTCGCAGAGTTTGGAGAGCTTCTGTACTTGTGCAGTTACCTTTCTCCATAATCATGACAGGGTACATTTCAAAATCGCCTCTCATGTTGCATTGGTAACAATTGCATTGACTGGTAAAATCTGACCCTTGTTCATAAATATTTCATGGGAATGGATATTTCCTTATTTAGAGTTTTGGAGTTGAAAAACGTGGGCTATTGTTGATTTCCAAATTGTATCTCAAATACTAGATTGAAGAGAATCCTAACGGATGGCTGGCACAGAGTAACAAAGGGATGGGTACTGGTATGGGTGTTGGAGCTTCCATAATTGCCCTCAGCATCCACCTTTCTCTTACCTTAAAAAAAAAAGATATTTTACCAGGTTCAGAATAAGCTGACCCTCAGTAATCTGAGGTAGAAGATGTAGGAACATTCTCAGTGCTGAAAATCATTATGTACCTCTCTTCTACCAATCAACTTGCATTAAATTTTAGAAATGATCTTCCCCGAATCCAGCAAAGATTGGCAATGAGGACGATAACGGGTGTATGACCATATGCTACTTTGGTTTACATGGGCATCTGTATCATGGAATCTTTTCCCAGTGCACTCCTTGTTGCGTGAACTTGTTAGGTGATCCAATCAAAGAGCCATGTTCAACAGCTGGTTCCCTTCCTAAATGTACTGTTAGGAATCACACACTAGGAAGGTTCTTAAGCAGCCTCATCAGAATGAATTTTGAAGGAAGCAGGATTCTGCTTTTGTCTGATAGAATTCTGAATTGCAGAATAAAGTGGAGCTATTTTCCTGTTGGTAAGAAAAATCTGCAGTGGTAGAATTCTATGAGAACGCATCGGTTTTGTTTTTGGGACTATTGTTCTTCCTTTTCAACGTCACTAGTATTTACTATGCTTAAAATTATATGGTCTTATTTAACAGAAAGTTTACAGAGAAGATTTTGAGAAGGAGATTAAAGGAAGGTCTTCGCTGGATTTAGACAAGACTCCAGAATTCTTACATGCAAAGTACATCACCAACCTTCTGAGGGAGGTAGGGTCTTTCTGTTTTCTATTAAATAGCTCCAAAGAAATAACCCAGGAAATGATTGATAGTGCTGTACTAATTGAGTGTTTGAGATGTTGACCTTTTTTATTTTTTTTTTCTCATTCTGATCTTAATGCTTTGCATTTTAATTAAAAGCAGCAAAGTATGTGTTAGCATTTCCATTTAAAGCAGAGGGAAATAGTTATCCAGATTCCTTGGGAAAACTTAAAAGTTTTTCTGACTTTTTTCTTTTGTTGTAGTTCAGAAATGCTATAAGTCATTGGTTTTGTAGCTTTAAAGTGGTTAGGTTTAAAAAAAGTTTGTTTTTATCTACTTGAAGTGGGGAGGTGACATAAAGAAAGAGAGAGAGAAGGAGGAGAGATAAGATAAAGAGATCATTTCCCTCAACTAGTTCACTTTCCAATCACTTATAATTGCTGGGGCTGGGCCAGGCTGGGGCCAGGAGTCAGAGACGCTATCCAGGTCTGTCATGAGCGCATCAAGGACCCAGACACCTGACGCACCACCATTTGCTGCCTCCCAGGGCACATAGAGCCAGGAAACTGAACACAGGAGGAATAGCTGGAACTTGGACCAAAGCAGCACGCCAGTGCCGGGGACACCTTGACTCCAAGAAGCAGTTTGTTCTTTTAAAATTCTGAATATGGGTGGAACAAGTTGTATTCTTTCAAATTTAGTTGTTATTAAAAAAAAAAAATCTCTTAGCTCCAGCTATAGTTTCCCTGTGGGATTGTTATGAGTTTTGATATCAGAAATGAGGTACACACATGTGTGACCTGGATAAACTGCTTTACTTCTAAGTCTTTTGTCATTCCAGTTGGAAAAATATTTTTGATCTTATATTTTGCAGATTTTTATCCTCTAAACTTAGTGATGCAGTTTACCTGACAACATAGTAAGCAATATAGACAATCAATAGTGGTACAAATCTGACAATTAAAAATGGGTTCATGGTCCCTCTCCTCAAAAGTTTCTTTTTAGGCTACATGCTTGAAACTATTAAACTATTAAAAGTGTTATCTCAGAATTTTTTTCCTTTTCTATTAAGGAATCATTTTCCTTTATAAAAATGAAATGTCTATTCATTATATATATAATATAGGTTTATGATATATATTATAAATGGAATATATATGCTAAATGGAATGTGAAATTCTATTTAACCCTGACTTTTTCACCTGAAGAAAAATATTCCTGATGAAAGTATCTCATATCAGTGAAATAGATTAGAGCATTGTCGTATATCTGTAATCACAGCAGCAGGGTTTTCTGTAATAAGCAAATGCCAACTGATCTTCACCATTTAACTGGTTTTAGAAACTTAATGTGACTGCCTGTTATAGTATATGTTGTGCTAAAATATGCATATAAACTCTTGTAAGGATTCTTTTGCTACTGTTTCTCTTACATTTCGTGCATGTAAAATGTTTTGAAGTTGAAGGCTAATCAACTGGCAACTTTCCACTATGATTGTTTTTTATTTTGAAAATATACAGTTTTTAGATTTCCAAGGAGAATCTTTTTTTTAATCATTTGCATACAAGTGACAATGGAAGCTTTATTTTAACATTCTTAAGTAGAGGCCAGCACAGTGGCTCGTTATAGCTCATTATACTGTTCCTTTACCTGCAAGCACAGGTATCCTTTGTGAGTTTTGATTCCTGTCCCAGCTGCTCCTTTTCCCATCCTGCTCCCTGCTTATGACCTGGGACACAGTAGAGGACAGCCCAAAACCTTGGGACCCTGCACCACGTGAGAGACGTGGAGGAAGCTCCTGGCTCCTGGCTTCAGATGGGCTCCACTCTGGCCGTTGTGGCCATCTGGGGAGTGAGTCAGCAGATGGAATGTCTTTCTCTCTGTCTTTCCTTATCTCTGTAAATCTACTTTTCCAATAAAAATAGACAACATCCATAAATAACTTTAATACATGTCATTACCTTTTGTTTGACTTTTTCTTGTGAGTAAGGCTTGTCTTAGACCTGTGAATTAAGGATGTATGCATTGGGGCAGAAAAGGCCGGGAGATTATTGCACTGGTTTGCTGTAGGCTGCGGGGACAAAATGCCTTTTAACAGTGGACAGTTTTCATGGTTGTGGAGAATGGACATCCAAGATAAAGGTGTCAGTTTCCTGGTGAGAGCTGATTCCTGGCTTGTGGTATCACCATTTTGCTGTGGAAGCTGAAGAAGACATCAAGATCTCTGCTTCCTTCTCTCCCTTCCTACAGATACAGTAATTCCGTCAGGGAACCTGCCCCTTCCCAATTTCATTAACACCTAATTACCTCCCAAAGAACTCCCCTCCAAATCCGATCACCTTGGGAGTTACAGGTTTAGCACACGTGTTTTAGGGGACATAAGCATTCAGTCCATAACCACTAGGATTGAGAACATTTAATGAATCACAGGATGTGTAATTTTAACAAGACTGTCCATGAAAATGTAATTATAATTTCCCTAAGTGTAAGCATTTAGCTGCAAATGGTTGAGCAGTCTTTACTCCGTGGCTTTTAGAGTGTGCAGAATATCCTTCGATGCTTCATTGCACTTGCTTCCCCCGGTCGCCCTTTGACATTGCCAGGACCATGTTTTTATTTGCTCTTTGGCTAGATTGGATATCAAAGGTGAGTTTCTTCAGGTCTTCCTGAAGGTCACCCAGGCGAATAAGAGAAGGAGCCAGACTTTCCCCCAGGTCATCCACTCAGTGCTGTTTCCAGACTCGTGGCCACTACTTCGTCTTTTAAGCTATTAGTCGGGTGAGGACAGGTTACTTTAATTATACTGGATAAAGGGAAAAATACCATGACATGAACCCTGGAACCCTGGAAATAACTGAAACCTGATTTGCTGTCATTAAAAAGGAAATTTTATCTTTCATCTCAAAAGTTAGTTGTAAATGAAGCTCGAATGAATAGGAATAAGATATATATTGTTTCCATTATGTAGATAAGTAAAACACAAGCATTTCACTAGCAGAGAAAACAAGGTATATATAAGCATTTGATTTTAGGACATTTGGATCAAATTAGAATTAGATTAAAATAAGCATTGTTCAAACTAAATATTATCAGTCTACAGGTAAATATATGGTTCCACAAATCTTTGAATAAAATTGAAATCTTCTCTTTAACTTTGGCTACATCAAGGCTTTTGATTATGTAATTTTCCATTCTTTTTCAACTGTGTGCTTTTTCTATTTCATATTTTATAGATAGCTTTCAAAGACATTCTCCAAATAATAAGAACCATGTATGCTTAAGATCTTTCTCACAATTTTATGGAAGGGCATCTTTTTACAAATACACTACGGTACTGAAACATATTAGGAGAAAGGATGAAAGGGGAAAAAGCAGATAATATTGGAAGCCACTGTGAACCTGATGGAGGAGAAAATGAAGTGTCTGTACAAAATAATCAAAGATGCTCAGCTGTCTGATTCATTTTTCCCTCGTAGTATTTCCTCCTCCTCTGATCTCTAGAATGCATGTAAAAGAGTACATTGGATAAAGTTATTTTTCATAAGTTTTGAACTGTGTATTCTTTTTTTTTAACAGAAGGAATATAAAAAAGATTTGGAAAATGAGATAAAAGGGAAAGGAATGGACCTGAGTTCAGAAGTTCTTGATATTCAGAGAGCAAAGCGAGCATCTGAAATAGCCAGTGAGGTGAGTATATTTAATAACTGCACAACCGTTTAACTGATTTTCCTAAACATATTTCTCAAAGATTATAGACATGTGTGGAGAACTATCAGTAGTTATGTCTTAGTAATCCTAGACAACGAGCTTTTTTTTTAAAAAAAAAAAATTGATGCTCACAATCTCCTTTCTTTGTGGCTTGAGAAAAAAAAATGGCCCTTTCCCCACTTTAGAGAAAAACTATATAAGATGAAATAGCTTTTTGATAGTTGACTTGATCTTAGCAAGTAAAAGGCCAAAGATTAGGCAGGTGTGTTACCAAGGTCTGTGTCAGTAACGGCAGTTATCAAGTTCACAAGTTCTTCTGCTTGTAACCTGGCTGACTCTTCTGTCCTTTGCTTCGCAGGTGAACAAGCCCTGTGAAGCCATGTTATCAAATGGTAGTGCCCACTGCCCACTTTGTGTGTACTTTACATAGGAAGGGCTGGAATGTCTCTCAAGTGTTTCTGTCCTTTGTCCCATAGTAATGTCCCTATGTTGGTGTCACATAATGACACTGTGCTTTGAGGAGAATCTCTGAATTTGGCACTGAAAAAGCTTAAAGCTTTGTGGCTGTATGTAAAATTCAACAGTGGTGGTGGGGGGTGGTGATGGTAGTAAGGGGTGGGTGAATAGTGAGGGCATGGAGGTGTGGTGGGATGGTGATGTGGTGGTTGGTGGTGGTATTGGTGGTGATGGGTATATCGGTGGTGGTGGTGACAACTGCCTTGTTAGTCAGGCTGCAGGTGAAAGCAGCTCCACCCAGGCTGAGGGCAGCAATCGAGGAAGTGTCTTTAACTTGTGGAGTAGAGAAGTCAAGAGATGGAGCTTGCCTCAGGTTAAAGTTCGGGTGTTGTTTGTACCCTTTGACTCTTGCTTCTGTTGTGTCTACTCCTGACCTCACTTTTGAAAGAATGTCTCCTTATAATGACTTCATTACCCAGATGCCGTGCCTGTGGGCAGTCATTCCAATGGGAAGTGAGCCAGTAAGCTGCCAGGATTGAATTTCCTAGGATCAACTTCTATTCTGGGTTTCTACCTGACCCACTTTGTTTCTGGGGGGGAAGGGAGACGTTGAGGAGTGTAATGCCTGATTGGTCCTGATTGATAATCTGTTGATTTCATCACCGCTTCCAACATTTCTACAGTCAGAGCCTAATGTCATTTTACTCAGGTGCTATTGTAGTGAAAGGATGTGAATTTACCAGTTTTGTTGTAGATGCTGTGAGATGATATATATATCCCATTTAATAGTCATTTAACAGTGTCTTTGGCATAAATCATTCTAAAAACTTATGTAATAAAACATTCATATTAATATTTACTATAATTGTGCTTTTCAATTAAAGCAAACTTAAAAAAGTGCCAGTGCAGTACACTGCAGGGCTCCTGTATCAGAGTGCTCTGCTCTGCTTCAGGTTCAGCTCCCTGCTGATACACCTTAGAATTCAGCAGAGGAGGCCCTGCCACCTGTGTGGGAGGCTCTGATGGAGTTTCTGATTTTGGCCTGGTCCAACCCTGAAGTTGCAGCCATTTGGGGAGTGAACCAGCAGGTGGAAGATTTCTCTCCGTGTCTGTCATTGGGTCTTTCAAATGAATAAATACATTTTCAGAAAAAAAAAAAACATTTTAGGTGAATTAACAATATGTGCAAGTAGTATAGAGATGCTGGGATTCTGTGTCCCAAAGTGTCTGGATTGAGGTTGTTCAGCGGGAATTCTCTGAAATAAGAGCATGGAATGGGTGCTGATCTTGAGTCACACAGTTTACTGGGCAGTCTTTGGTCTTTGGCTCATGCTGTCATCACATGGCTTTTCTGTGTTATAGATTTGGCAAGTTGTGCCCAGTTCTACATTCTGAGGTCAAATCTTGTAATCAGTTACCCACAATACTTGGAAAAAAATGAAAAAAAAATTTCAGTTGCAGATCCAGCTGTATGGCTCGAGGAACAAGGAGGTGGCAGATGCAGTCCTAAACAAGTCCTTGTCAGTTCTTAGTCACTGTTACCCCTCTTTGTGTTGGGCTCTATTTGCTGGCTCTTTGGCCTTCGTAGTAGATGGATCCTGCGTGGAACTGCTGTGATTCCCATCTTGTGATGCATGTACCAGACATATTAAGGGACATTCCCAGTGTCACACATTGTTGCCTGTGGCCTCAGTTTTGCTGCCTTCTGTATCTGCTCTCTTATGCCTGTTTTCCTCTCCTCTCTCAAGGCAGCTTGTCAGTGAAGATTCTTACCTGGAAATTCCTTTATGGATACTAAAAGTCTTCAGAGCTTTATATACCCTCCTCAGTGAGAGATTAGTAATGACCACTAGAAGCAGTTTAGAAAATTTATTTCTTGGTAGCCATCTGTAGTAGAAAGAAAGCTGTGTGTCCTCTGTCTACACCCCACTCCCCATTCTTACTACGTTTAGCAGTTTTCAGGGTGTTAGTAACTATACATACATGTTTCTGCCTGTGTTTGAACATTAAAAAATGCTGCCTTTTACAGAAAGAATACAAGAAAGACCTGGAGTCAAAAATTAAAGGAAAGGGAATGCAAATTGGCACTGACACCCTGGAAATCCAGCGTGCCAAGAGAGCTGTTGAAATAGCAAGTGAGGTGAGTAGGGTTGGGGTGCAAGCTGTATTTCACCAACTATATTGACTTCAGGGTATTTCTCAAAGCTTTGTGGCGATTTTTCACAGTTTGGAATCAAAGCCATTTAAAACCATTATGTTTGAAAATTGATGACTTTTGTTTTTTTTCTCATTTTCTTTACAACAAAGGAAACACAGAAAGAAATTTTGATAATCCTCCCAAAACACACAAACACATTTCTACACATCTTATTTTATAATGCAACACTTTTTATGTTAAGCTTTGCTTTAATATTTCCCAGTTTGAGTTCCATCTTTACCAGTGGAGTCACTGAAGTATTTTTCTTAACGAGAATTCTCCTTCCATCATTACCCTCTTTAATATCCAGCTAACCCTTTGTATTCATGGAATAGGCTAAATGTGAATGTCAAATATTTGGAGAATTGTGCCTGTCCTACACATGTAGAGCCTTTTAATCCTTGTCATAATTCCCTAAACAATGTGTTATAATAGGTATTTATACAGCATTACAGTGTAACAGATGTTACAAGTAATCTAGAGAAGATTTATAGCATTTAGAAGAATGTGTATAGGTTATATTAATTTGTGTGGAAATGCTGTACCATTTGATATGAGGAACTGGAGTATCCTTGGGTTTTGGTATCTGTAGGAAGCCCTGGGACAAAAACCCTGTGGGTAGAGAAGGACAACTGTATATTCTCTATCCAGTAGCCAGAATAATTTTTGAAGAATTCAATGAGATTATTGCTGTCCTCATTTAGAAGTCCCTAGTGGTCTTCTGCCATGCCCAGGACAAGTCACACTATTGATCTGGTGTGGAGCGGCACTGCTGTGATTGACCCCAGTCTGGTACCCTTTTCCCCTCTTACGTTCTAGCCCCAGTCTCTGCCTGCTCAAGGTTTTGGTTCTCTATGTTGCTCTAATGTGTCCCTGAATCTCTGTACTTGATCAGCTCTTCCTTAGAATAAACAGATTCCCTGGGATTTCAAGTGATTTACCATCCTGAAACTGTTAAATCACTACTTAAAAAAAAAAAAAAAAAGACTTATTTATGTGAAAGGCAGAGTTACAGAGAGAAGGAGATCTTTCACCTACTGTTCACTCCCCAAATGGACACAATGGCCATAGCTGGGCCAGGCCAAAGCCAGGAGCTTTATCTAGGTCTTTCACATGGAGGGAGGGGCTTGGGCAATCTTCTGCTGCTTTTCTGAAACCATTGCCAGGGAGCCATATGAAATGCAGGTGACTGCCTTACCCCATTAAGCCCCAGTGCTGGTTCCTAAAACTCTACTTTTTAAAAAGTATTCATTTTCATTTTGTTTAAAAAGCAGAGACAGAGATCTCTGATCTCTTGGTTCATTTCCCAAGTACCCCCAAGTTCATCCAGAGCTGAACTTGGCCAAATCCAGCAGCCTAGAAATCGGCCCAGGCGCCCCGTGTGTCTGCATGGACTCCAGTTCTTGAGCCATTGTAGGCTGTCTTCCAGGGTGCCCCTTAGTCAGAAGCTGCAGTGGAAGCAGCAGAGGCAGAACTTGAAGCAGAATCTCTGATATGGGATGCGGCCATCCCACATATGAGCTCCTGTCAAGCATGCTCCCCCCTCAGATTCTCTGAAATTGTTCCTTTGTTGGTGAAGGCTTTGCATGCAATATTGGTTTTAATTACCTTGGTGCATGGGGCTTGGGAATTCAAGGTTCAGGAACATTTAAAAAAACATACTTTGGGTGGATATTTGGTTTAACACTTTAGACGCCTGTGTCCCATTTTGATATGCTTGGATTGGAAGATTTGTTGCTTGGTTTCTGCTCCTGACTCCCATGCAGTCTGTGGCAGCAGCAATGATGGAGTTATTGGCCTCAGCCTAACAGCTGTTGTGTGCATTTGAGAAGTGAATAAGCAGGTGAAAATCTCTACTTTCTCTTTATTCCCTCCCTTCCTTGTCAACATAATTTTAAAAAAATTGGAAAAAAAATTAAAAATGTAAAAGAATGAGAGTTGAAGCTAATTAAAGCATCTCTAGAGAAAAAAGTGTAAGCAGAACAGATATTTTGAATTTCACCCTCTCAGAGCTCACATCTAGACATACCTCTCTTATGGAATGTTGCTGTGTTTTAATACTCAGGTTTTTCCTTGGCATGATAATAAATGTATGTATCTGATATTATACTGATTTAGATTTTTCAGTATTCTCTGAGACCAATTAGCAGGAAAATAGAGCCTATTTATTTATTGAGAACCTAAAAAAAAATAGGCTAAAGACTTGGCTGTACCGTGGTCACATGCAGTACAAACCAATTTTGATGAGGCTGTTTATCTTTGTAATCCAGATACCTCATTTGCATGTAATTGTCATCACATCATGTCCCATTTTGCTAACCTGACAGACTCTCAACTTGTTTTTCACCAAAGTTTGGGATTCTGTCAGTTTACTCCTTTTTTTTTTTTTTTTTGAAAGCTTATATATTTACTTGAAAGGCAGCATTACAAAAAAAGACCTCTGAGATCCACTGGTTCACTCACCTAAAAGGCTCTAATGGCCAGGGCTGGGTCAGGCTGAAGGGAGGAGTCAGGAGCTTCTTTCTGATCTCCCTCTTGGGATTGTGGGTTTGTCAGTTTGTTTTTAATATTAGAAGTTCATTTTTCAAGTAAAGCCCACTTAGTATGTTGTGACACTAATAACTCCAAGTTGCCCTGCCTTTCTGTATCAGTGGGCTTTGACTGTGGCACTTTCCTTAACCAGTGAATGTTACTGAAGGTGACTCAGGCTCAGAGGAATGTGGCTGCTTTCAGCTTGTTGAATTGAAATCTTCTCTAAGTTTTGGGGTATTTTGTTGTGTTACCATAGCAAACAGCTGGCACAACTAGTACCCCAATCTGACAGTTCATATTGGTTTAGACAGGTTTTAGTAAAAGCAGTTTTTTTTCTGACACTGTAGTGATGTAATATTGTTATTCTGTCTGTTAAACATTATTACTTGGGTCTTTATTCAGGAAAATGGAGAATCTAAGTCGATAAAAACAGATGGGGTTGTAAGAAGAATATAAGGAAAGATGGAGCATCTCTTTGATGTTGAGATCTTTGCTGATAGTTTTTCTGAGTTTAGAGCATCTGGATTGTACCATTTTCATTTGTTCTTGATTTAATCTCATGTTGATTTATTCACTGCGGCTGTGGAAGCACTGGGTGAGACCCCATACAGCATTGATGTGCAGGAGGCTATTCCATCCAGGTGTGTCTGTCAGTGTATTGTGTGAGTGTTCAGTTACAGAATGCACTCACAGCATTGTTCTCAGATGGACTGCTCACAAAGCCGGGCATCCTTGTAATTGATTTATTTTCAGTTCTCAGGCAGGCTTTCTTCTCTGGTTTTCAAAGAGGCTTTCAGCAGCTTCTGAGCTCATCCTTCATTCATGTACAGAGGGAAAGAGGAAGTCTCTTCATATACCTTCTGGGGAAAAGAAATTCAGCCATCCCTGAACCAGTCAGACAGGGCTAGGGATGGGTTATAAACATTTACTTGAGCCAAGCTCACCTAAGCTGAATGGCTTAGACAGGGAGCAGTGAGGTGCCTCTTGACTCAAATCAAGGAGGCCATGAAAAGGAAATGACACAGTGAGTCCTCCAGCAATGATTGATCACACAACAAAACTCAAGAGTTTCACAACTATGTTTTATTGATATTTGTCAATAGATTGAAGTAATAACCGTAGTTTATCAAATGGAAGTGTAAAAATTTCCACTAACTGGGCTGTTTTCTTTCTCAATGCAGATAATGGAAAAGTACTTCCTGTTAACTTCTGAAAAAATCATTACAAGTCATGTTCTACCACAAGTAAAAGCTTTTGTTCTAAAGACATAAAAACACAACCAGATAGCAAATGATAGTCTTGATATCAAAATGCTATATAGCACTTTTCATTAAAGTTTTATAACACTCACTGCATGTTTTGTTTTCTTTAGAAAGAGTATAAAAGAGATCTGGAGACTGAAATCAAAGGGAGAGGAATGCAGGTCAGTGCTGACACCCTTGATGTCCAGAGGGCGAAGAGAGCATCTGAGATGGTCAGTGAGGTAAGGAGGCAGCAGGGCACAGAGTTCACGAGGAGCACCTTGGGGGCTTGTCCAGAGCGAGGAACTGCTGCTATTTACCTGTGTGGCATCGCTGGTCAGGCACTAGATAGTAGTTGCTGTCAAAGTTAGGCGGACCTCTGAGATTATTTTCTCTTGTTTCAGAAACATTATAAGAAGGACTTAGAAAATGAAATTAAGGGGAAAGGCATGCAGGTGAGCGTGGATATCCCAGATATACTTCGAGCCAAGAGGGCCTCTGAAATCTATAGCCAGGTTGGTAGAGTGAGGATGCTCAGAAAAAATGTATTCTAATGGTCTCCTCACCAGATGTTGGATGTGTTTTTGCAATTTGCATCTTTTTCGTGATGTCACATTTGACGTTACTAACTTTGTTGTTAAGAAACTATGGGCTGAATTTGATTAACCTCACTAACTATAAAGAAAGTGGTTGCACATCCAAGTAAGTGGGTGCTCAGAAGTTACAGAGTTGCTCCTGTTTGGGGTGTTCCTTATGTCGAGATTGGCAATATTTTGACCACATGTTGAACAGTTTTTTGACTTGAATGTTCTGTACTCATGCTCCAGAAAAAAAAGTCTTTTTCAAGTATTTATTTTTTAGCTGTTCATTTTGTGAATATGATGACAATTAAAATAACCCTGTCTCTATAAAATAACAGTTGTGAAAACTGTCCTGGGTATTATATAAAAATTAATCTTAATAAAAATTAAGGACAGAAAGAAGTTTTTTTACTTTGCTAAGTATTCCTGTCACATATCCTCTTCAAAAATTGGATTAAGAGAAATAGTAGCTGCCAAAGAACATATTTTGGAAGTTAATTATAAACATCAGTTTTGATCAATTCATAATATCTTTGCTATAAAATATAGATGACAATAATGAATCCAAATGCAATAAAATAGTAAACACAAAACAAGCGAACAAAATGAACCTGAAAATGGAGTTCTGTATGATCTAGCTATCCCGCTATTGGTTATGTATCCAAAAGACATGAATTAATTGTTACCAAAAGAATATCTGTTCTGCCATGTTTATGTCAGTACTATTCACAATAGCTAAAATGTGGATTCAGCCCAGGCGTCTGTCATCACATGAATGGCAATATATATATACACATGTATATGTATGTGACATGTATGTTTATGTATATGCGTGATAGAATATTATTCAGCTGTATATGAAAGTTTGAAGTCCTGTGATTTGATGCAAAAATGGATCTAGAGGCTATAATGTTGAATGAAAGAAGCCAGAACAGAAAGAAAACACTGCATATTTTGTCTTATGTAGGGTAGATAAAATTAAAAAACAAAAACAAACAAAAAAGCTTTTAGTCTTAATTTTTGAAGACTTGGAGAGGGAGAAGGTTTTTGATTAATAAAAAAGAGGGACCTGGTTGTGGGCCATTTATTGTAACAAAGATACTAGTAGGAGATAATTAATAGGGGAAATAGTTTGAGGAAGTAGATGGGGACTCTTCACATTATTACCTCACAATTTTTGTTTGATGAATTTAAAACTACATTAAATATTTTCTCTTTATTTAGACCTATGCAGTATGGTAGATTTGGACAATATGAAATATTTTTCTGTCTGATTCTTTTTTATAATACACACAGAATTTCAGATCCATAATATTTGTGGCCTTTTAGACAGAGTATAGCAAAGAAGCAGAGGAAATATTCTCTAACTATTTCACTGCAGTAGGCACTCCTGAAATGCAGTGAATTAAGACAACTCAAGAAGACATTAGTACAGTGAGTTTCAAAAAATAATTTTATGTAATATTTTTAGTGTTCCTGCCTTCTGTCTGAGACTCATTGGATGAATTCTGTGTCAAGGTGTGAAATTTTCCAGTTGGGTATCATGTTACTGCTCAAAAAGTTTCATGTTTTGGAACATTTGAATTTAATACTTTTAGATTTAGGTTACTCAAACTATGTTTTTTTTTTTTAAATGACCATTTTGGAAATTTATGTTGTATTAACAACAGTCTTTAATGGTCAGTGTCTGATTTTCAATTGTATTACTTGAATTTTTGGTTGACATTTTTAAAATTTTTATTTCTTCAAAATAAATATGAAATGTTTCTGCGAGTTACAATTTATCATGATTGGTTTATAATTACAGATTCACATTTTCCTCTTTTTTTCAAGTGAGAGTTACACTGAATTTAGTAATTGAACTGGGGAAATGAATCTTTTTTTTTTTTTTTAAGTTGTTTATTTGAGAGGCACAGAGAGGGCAAGAGTGATAGACAAACAGGACCAGCTCCTCAGAGAGAGAGAACACTCCAAATGTTCCCCGTGGTTGGGACTGGGCCAAAGCTGAGGCTGTGGCAGGGAGCTAGTAGTGCACCCCAGATCTCCTATGTGGGTGTCATGGACCCAATGACTTGAGCTGTACTCCTGTCTCTTGTCGTCTGCACCAGCAGGAAGTTAAAGGAGGAAATTGAACTCAGGATCTACCAAGTGGGATGTGGTCAACTAGGCCAAACATAAAACTTGAACTCAGAAACAAAATCTATTTTCTGTACAGATTTTTCTCTGGAGATAACAGTAGTCATATGAAGCAATTTATTTCTATCAGATAATCATTGGTTACTTGCATTGATAATATATCTAAAAATCACTAGTTCAAAGCTAAACCTCAGGTGTTTATATTTTATTTTGAGGACTCAAAATTGCCTCAGTACCATTAATTAAGAGATTTGGCCTAGGTGTAATGGATGCATAAATTTGAATTCTCTTCTAAAATGAGACAAATTGGTTACACAGCCAGTTTTGTATTGGAAACTTATCTGAGTCATTTAGTAGTTAAATATGTCAGTCAAATGTGAATTGTGTTAAGTTTCAGGATTTCTGACATCTTAATTCAATTGAAAATTCCAGCTCTGAGGGTGTGCTGGTAGGGTGCCTCTGGGGTCTGGCCATCCTGCGCAAAGAGAAAAATTTCACTGGAGGGACCAGGGGAGAGGCTGTTTTTGCCCAGGTCTCCCGAGTCCACCGTAGTCCAGATTTCTGTCTTGTAGAGGAAAGCATCTCTCATGCCATACTCTGGCACTCGTGCCAGCACCCACATGTCAAGGGGTGAAGCAGTTCTTTCCTCGTGTGCATGTGTTGTGAGCACTCTCTTTCTGCAGAGCCCTTTGTGTTTGGAAAGGGCAGATATCTTTAGACACAAAAAGACATGTAGGAAGTTAGTGGAGGAGGAGGAGGATGCATGGAATGATGTTGATGATAGAGCTGATATTGTCTGAAAAGTGCACGTGTATCTTGGTATTAGGAGAAAAGTAGTCTGTTAATATCCAATTCTCCTTCTGAATTAAATGAAAACTGTTTAGTGAGCTTTGGCAATAAGTTTTGATTTTTCTTGTACGTGTTTGAAGAAGCGAACTGTTGCTTCACCGATTTATATTCTTAAAGTAGATAGTGTGCAGCCAGGTCAGATGCCTATCGCCCTCTAGACTAAGTGTGAGAGAGTTACTTGTGTGGCCATAGGATATGGGACCAAGGCTGGATGTTTTTGTCATAATGACTCAAATAATATTGCCTCTAGTAAGTTAGCAGCTGTGTTCATGTCACCATAAGACCTGAGAAATTAGTTCTTTTGTGAGAATCAGACCTAAGACCTGAATTCTACTAAGCTTATACTTACTCTTCTCCTTGTCTTATTATAAAGGTGTTTTATAAAAAAGAAATAGGAGCTGGCACAGCAGTAACAGACACTCCAGAGATTGAGCGAGTGAAGAAAAACCAGCAGAATATTAGCTCAGTAAGTTCTCCGTTGCATTAATTTTTCTTTGTAAAAGTGAGTGCACACTTGATAAGTATTTTTAGTTACTTTTTTAATCGACTGTGTTTTTCTTTCTTTTTACATTTGATTGGTGTCATTCGATATCAAAGTCTCACTTTCAGAATGAAAACTGTAGTGTTGCACAGAATTTTAACTGTATCAATTTTTTCAGAGAAAGAATATAATTTAGTACTTCTCCAACATTTGGAGGAAAGAAATCTTTACCTAAAAGGATGAGTACATAAGTTCCAAGCATTTATTTGGTGACTTAAGTGAAGCTGTCAATTTTATTTAATTTTTAATTGAAAACATTTCTAATTTTGATTTTTAGCTAATTTTTTTTAACAGATTCAATGTGACTTAACTAGATACAATTCTAGGAACATGTCACTCTCCCCCTTCCAGCCACCTTCTTATTCTTCTGCCTTTCTTTCATTTTAGTTTGTGAGTCAACATATATTAAATTACAATACAGTACATTTAAATTTAAATGTACAGCTTAATATTCCATCAAGTAAGAAGTTCAACAAGCAAAAAGCAAAGACCCCAATTTTGCAGGGGATACAGGCCACGGCTGTAATATAAGCAACGGTTGAGTGGGAAAATGCCCATTTTGCCCATATACAGTACACTTTAAAGTAACAAACTGAATTTTACAAAGAAAATCATATCAGTTTACTTTCACCCTATGGCTGTCAAGTTTCTGCACTTTGTCTCAGACTCATTTCTGCCTTGCGTTGTGTGCCAGCCCTGGTTCCCTTCCACGTCCTCCAGCAAAGACACCTTGTTTCAATGGGAAAATACTGTCCTCCAGTTAGGGAAATAGTAGAGGAGAGGCTTAATGTCATGGTTGGGGGGCGAATTTTTTTTTCCCTGTTTGGTGGTTGATGTTTATAATGAATACTTACTATCCTTACCGGTAGAGGTGTTCTTCCATGTATATTTAGCATGTAACTTCTATTTGTAAAGAAGTGTATATTCTTTTTGTAAAGAAGAGATTGTTTCCTTAAGCCTTTGTTTGTTTCCCTGAATTTTTTCTTTACCTCCCCTGGAGACAACCTCCCAACACTAATCTAGGAGCAATCAAAGAACTAGTGAGATGCAGCTGCGGGTAACATCTAACTCTGGGTGTTACACGGCGTTCTGAGGATAGACGCTAATGTTTCTGGGGAGAAAGTAGCAAAGGCAAGGTGATGCGGTAGTAAAACGCCCTTAGAAACAAAATTAGAAGTCTGCAGCAGAACAGGGCAATAAAGTCTGCAGCGCCCATGGACTAAGCCCTCTCCTGCGGAGTGCTCTGGCAGAGGACCCCGAGGCAGGAGAATGGGAGGGGTGGAAGAACAGGCTGTGCTCAGAGCCTGCAGCGGGCACACTTGGGTCCGCTGGAGAAATGAGTTTGGGAGAGAAAGACAGCGTGTTTGCGCTCTTCACTTTCAGGTGGTAATATGTGAAATGTACCCATCAATGTGCTGTGATAGAACGTTATGAATGTTCTGTGGTGTGCGAGTCTATAGCCCACAGTGAAATGAGCGCACCGCCTTGATTAGTTTAGAGTGCTATGGAAAACAAAACTGTTCCTTTCTAATCATGTTTTGCCTTTCACCCGAGGAAAATGGCACAAAGTGGCACAGTCCATCATTTCTCCTTTCAGCATCACCCAGCCCCTTCTAGCAAACAACAAATGCGTAGTCCCTGTGCCTCTGTGAGGCCGCACCGTAAACTCCTGCTTAGTATTCAAATGGAAACTTGCCCTTTCAAGATTAGCCAAGATCTGTCAAACCAAGATATGATTTTCTAACATTTAAACATCTCGACATTTCCCACCTCCTCCAGAGTCCAGGCCTTTTAGCTATTAGCTCTCTGTGTTAGGGGCTGGTTTTGAATTTTATTTAGAAATAGCCTTTCTCAGTGTACTTTGAGTTTAACCATTTGGGTCCTGGACTGATATTGGCATTGTGATTCATCCTAAATCTACAGATACCAGGAGAGAAATGGTAGCTGGGATCCCAAGCTACTTTCTTGATGACAGCATGATTTGGGCTTTGAAATGAGACATTGCAATGTCCCTCATAAAGATGTCTAATAGTTTAAAAGATCATTTTAAACATTAGCCAGTTGATGATTTTGGTTTAATTCTTGGCTGCATTTCAACACAGTCCTCTTGTGTCTGTTCTGCTCTATGTGCCCTTTTTCTCAAGTCCAACTTTCTATAAATCTAGATGTATCAAAATCCACCTGAAATGATGGCATCACTTTTGCATAAGCATGAAGAGCTGCTCCTTGTCCTTAGTCAAGACGTGTGCTGCTGTTAGAGCCTGTGTGGGGATCCTTCTCTGGATGAATCTGGAATGGGAGCGTTGGCATGACGGGGGTGCCAGGGTTGTGTGGGCGGGAGGCACTTCCTGACTTTCTGGCCCTGGCTTTTTTACCAGCAGTTTGTGCTTACAGTACATTTCCATCCATCCCCTTTATTCTCTTCTTTGACTGTTACCGCTGCATTTTCCCCCTCATTCTGAATAATTTGTGAACTCATCTTTAGAAAAGCGTTGCTCCCAAGACTCTCGCTAACTCAATCTGTCTGTTGCTTTTAAACACATGTTAAATTTTAATTAACATCAATCGATGGAAAATGCTATGTTCAGATAGAACATAGCAAACCATTATATTAAAAAGATTTACTGTTTCTTGTGTTTCTGCATAATGATAAAATTTCTTCTCTTGGTAACCTTTGCTTATATCAATTAAGGAACACCTCTTGTGATGGGCAGGTGGATAGACGTGAATTTATTTATGCTTTAGGATAAGGCAATCCTGATAGCATCAGTTAAAATCTTAAAAATTGTGTTACTGATGAAGAAAAAGCAATGTGAGAATTTTAGCAATTCAGTTATGCAGTAGTAACAAATGTAGACTCATTAGCTATTTTTAAACTTTTATGTAGAATAAAGTTAATACACTGTTCTTATAAATTGTGCAGGTGAAATACAAAGAAGAGATTAAGCAGGTAACAGCAATTTCTGATCCTCCGGAACTGAAGAGAGTTAAAGAAAACCAGAAGAACATCAGCAATGTGATTTTATTTCCTTGAGTATTTTTTATATTCTGTTACATAAAATATATAACAAAGGGATGACACCTGTTTAGCTTAAGTCCCATTGCATAAATACCATTGCAAGAGGATCAGATCCTTGCACATGGATGTGCTCTGCTACACATAGCCAAAGCTTTGTGTACATTTGCTTATAAAAGAAATATATGACTGAATATCTGCTCTATTTTTGTTTTTGAGAGAATACAAAGATAAGGGAGATACACTGTAAGGTTTTGAGACCTAAAAGGTACAAAGATTGGAGTAAATACTTGATATTTTATTAAGCTCTATCATAATAATTAAGTATTGAGTGTTTGCTATGCTTTTTGAATATGTAACATGGAATATCTCATTCATTATAAGTGGTAATAAATCTTGATAGGAACCCAGAGAAGGAAGGTTTTCTTTAGAGGAGAGAGGAACGGCCTTAAAGACAGATGACATTAGATCTTGAATAGTGAATAAAGGTCTGGGTTAGACTTTGTGAGCTAAAGCATTTCTGGATCTTTAAATCAAGCCTGTTCAGGATCCTGGGGTGAGTGTTTAAGATACCTGCATCCCATTTTTAAGGACTTGGGTTTGATAGTAGCCAGGCCTGGCTTCTAATTCCAGCTTCCTGCTTGTACGGACCCTAGGACGCAGTAGTCATGGCTCAGTGGTTGGGATTCTGCCATCCACGCAGGAGAGCTGGGTTGAATTTCTGATTCCTAGCTTCAGCCATCCCCAACCTCAGCCTTGTGGGACATCTTGAGGAATGAACCATAGCACTCCCTTACTCTCTCTCCCCCGGCTATCTTTCTCGGTGTCTGCCTGCTTCATAAATAAGGAATTAGACTTGGTACTCAAGGCCTGTTCAAGAAGATTGAGTGTGATGTTTACTTGGAGTAAATAGTGGCAGAAGGTGCTGGTGTCAAGGGAAGTTGTGATATTGATCATAAAGAAATGCTTTGAAGCTCCAAAACATCCCCAAAGTGTGCCTCATACAGCATAATGCATTTAATATCTGAAGTGGGCCACTAGTGAGGAGTCTTTGACTTAGCAATTATGTTATTTGGCTCTTCTAAAAGGAAGGCTAGGTAGTTGCCAATTTATGGTAGAAATTTAATAATCCCTTAAAATCACTGTATCTGCAAACAATACTGAGTTCATGTTCATGGAATGAGAAGGTCACACTATTAGTAATAATGTGGCCTGTTTCTGGTGTGGCTATAGGAAAGTGACACTCAAATAGCAGAAATTTGTTTAACACTGCAGCCATAGTTAAGAATGATGACCTGGACAGCTGGGCTGGTTCCAATTCCAGCCCTTACTGATATATAATGTTTATAAGCCTACATTTCCTCACAAGGATTCCAATTTTCAATGAGAAATTGCCTGTGAAGCACACTACATGTCTGTGAGTGGGTGAATACAAGCAGTACATGAGGATTCTTTATATCACATTTGTTCTGCAAATTTACACACACTGAAGATTGGGCTGCAATAGATGGGGCTCCATCAGTGGTGCTGCTCAGCATATTTTTCTTCTCTGAGCCGAGAGTCAACTTTCATTGTATGTTGCCATCAATACAGAGTAAACTACCACTTTACTTTAACAGTCATCAAGAATCTGCCTAAAATCTCAAGCCTCATTCCATGGCTGAAAGAGAGTAGCATATGGGCAAAGAGGACACATGGGAAGGAGCTCCACCTTTCTTCCATTTACTTTCCAGGCTCATCAAACTCTTCACTTTGATGTTCGCCACTGGGGCTATAATTTCAAGTTCATGTTCTCTGCAGGTCTGCATAGGTCCTGTGATTTCTGGATAGTGGAAATTCTCCAATGCTAATTTTAACTCTTGGAAAATCACTGTCCGTGTGGAGTTCCACACAACGGGATTTATACCTCTAGTTCTACTTACCCCTTTAAAAAATGGATTTGCCAGTCAATCCATTCTCTGTGTCTTTGAAGTTGGTTCGCTTCCTGGAGTGTTGGGAACACACTAACTACAAACACTGGGGTCTGACCGCCCCCCGCCCCACCAGCTCAGAAAGGACACCTTTGTGCAGTACTCAGAAATATTTTCATGATGCTGAGTCAAGGGCAGACCTTCTATTCCCGATGTTGGACCTTCCCAGAGAAGGGGACTTTGAGGATTCAGGGGCAGTGTATAAAGGGCAGATGGAGGATTAGTGTGACAGTCTTTTCCATTGATAAGTCAACTTTCATTGTATGTTGTCACAGAATTAGGATGTTAAAATGCAAGATCATCATTTGAGAAACATTGCTTTAATGCCAAGAAGAAATAAACTCATGGCAAGAATAACTGATAAGATCAAACTCAGAAAGGTCACCAGTACATGATATAATTCAGCAAATGATATGTAAGCTGTGATTAACAACCTTTAATGAGGAAGAGCTCAAGAGATTGACATTACTGAGAAGATGAAATCTACGAACAGCACTATGTCACTATAAAATCCTAAGGAAGATTTTATAATGAGTGTTTTGTAGCCACGAGGCTTTTCTTATGTCTGTGTTGAGGTATGCGTACACATGGCTTCCCGTTTTCCCACAGTGTCTTGTATCTTGTCTTGCAGCTTCAGTATAAAGAGCAAAGCTACAAAGCCACTCCAGTAAGCATGACCCCGGAGATGGAGAGGGTGAAGAAGAACCAGGAGCAGCTGAGCGCGGCAAGTTGTTTCTGTCGTCTTTTCTGTTGATCAAACATTACATGTTTTTTTTTTATTATTATTTTAAAGAAATGCTCTGCACAGATTTTTCCATTCTGTCTCTGTGTCTGCTCTTTTTCAGGTTCACAAGCCAATAGTTGTGAGTCTAGGACATTGGGAACCGGGTTGCTATCATCTAGTCATATTTGTGAATTCAAGAAATGTTTATATTAAACACCCACATATTCTGGGCAATGCCCTGGTCACAGGAATATAGAGATGGATAAGACCTGCTCTTTCCTCTTAGACCTCAGAGTTTAGTGAATCGTTAACAATGCATCCAGTGAAGGTGTGAAAAGCAATGGGATCTGCTGTCAATTGGAGGTGGAAAAATTAGCATCTGTTGAAATAGGGCAGGAGGTGAACTGGCTGGATTAGTATTCGGAGGCATAGTTTTAATCCAAGGAGCCTTACGTACAAAATGATCACGTTAATAATTCAGTAATCTATGGATAATAAAGCAAAAATAGTTGAAAATTATAAATTACCTCTCCTCTATACTGGACTGTGCTTTTCTGTATCCACAAGTCAGGCACTGTTCATTTATTCCTCTGATTGGTAAATGTGGAAAAAACTCAGTCCTGGATTCAAAGGACATGCCAGAGGTGCAAGGCAGGTCAGAGTGGAGCTGAAATTTGATTCCAGGCCTCCTGGAAATAAGAAATGCCTTTCAAAGTGCACCCAAATAGTTTTTTTTTTTCTTTTTTTTTTTTTTGTGACTTTTATGGGACTTTTACTAATATAAGCAACAGCCTTACAAAATGGATAATTTAAAAAGACTTTAAAATAGTAGAAGAAATGCTCCCAAATGTAGGGGAAAAATGCTCAACACGGTTTATCCGTGTGATATCCACGGGAGGTCTGTCTGTCACAGTGGACTTCCCGGAGTCAGAATGTGGGTCTCAGGACTTCCCAGACCTAAGCAACACCTTCATGCCAGTCCTTCCGTCATGACTTTGTTCTAGTGTTTTCTTTAAAGCTTGTTTCTTTGTGTTACTTTTATTGGTGGAATTTGCGGTTAGATTTGAGCAGCAAAGTATTTCTTTTAAACATTTTATGCTTACTGTGTCAGACCAATGGGAATCTTGGCCTGCATAAGAACAAAAATGTTGATATAGAGCTGCTGTGAAAACAGTGTGTAAAGGGACAGGCTCTTCCACTGTGGGATCTATTAAAATTTTCATTTTTTTTCCTCTGTAGGTGAAATACAAAGAAGAGATCAAACAGGCAACTGCAATTTCTGACCCCCCAGAGCTGAAGAGAGTGAAGGAAAACCAGAAGAATATCAGCAATGTGGGCCGCGTCTCTCGGCTTTCCTGTTGTGAATCTGAATGTGCTGGCATCATGTAGATGGGGGCTCATATTTAGAACGTGTTCATGACTTTGAGTTAATACAGTCTTCTGCATTGACTAGTGTTGTGCTTGAAAGCTCCCAGGGTCTTCAGTGTGGGTGCAGTCATGAGCCTAGGGGTCCTTAGGATACACCAGGACTACAGGTTACTGCGGTTCCTCCTTTGCTGGTCTTCTGCTGAGTGTTGCTGGGACTGCCCACAGCGAAGCAGTGATAGCTTTGGCATCTTGGCCCTGCTAACAAGCTTCCCCATCTGTGCGTCTTCTTGTTTTGCCTCCTGCCCTAGTCCCAATTCCCACCTCCAGCAATAGTAGCTCTGGGGACAGTATTTTGGAGGAAGTGATAAAGTGTGCATGGCTGACTAGGTCATACGGGACAAGACCAATTTAGGAACACTTGATTAGGAGTTGGCAGTTTTACTTAGACACTGAGTGGTGACCTGCTCTGATTCCCTTTTGTTTATATAATCCAGGAAGCAATTCACTGAGAGAACCCTTTTTTGAAGTCATTAACATATAGATTGGGTTCTTTGGAGGAGGAAATTTGGAAATCTATTACATTTAAAGAAAGTGTGTATCCTCTAAACCCTTAAAGTCATTTGAAGAGTTTATAAAGCACAAGTAGGTTATCACTTGCTCCTTCTCTTGAAGAAGCTGGATGCTTGTTTTCCCCAGTCGAGTTAGAGGCATGCTGGACATGAGGCTCACTAAGGAGTGTAACTATGAAAGAGAGGAGTAAGATAGTGGGAAGCATGCCGGCCTTTTTATGGATGATCATGCTTTTCTGTGTAAATGTCTCCTTGCAAAGTTCCTCCACGTTAATTCCTAAGCAGTCACCAAGGAGTGTTATCATTCTTTACGGGCATGAGGACCTTCTGATAGTGTTCACAAAGCGTTACTTCTTGTGTTCCTTTGGGACTTAAGGTTCCCTCCAGCCTTATCAATTATATGCCTTTGTGTATAAATCCAAAGTGAATCAAATACACACACACACACACACACACACACACACACACGCAACCATGGGATGAAATGAGCAAGATTGTGCTAGGGTGCAAGCATTTTTAATGTGACTAGCCCTCTGATAAATGTTCTCTTTTGTCATAGTTCCTTTTCTTCAATTCTTTTTTTTAAGATTTATTTTATTTCTTTGAAAGGTAGAGTTATAGATAGGGAAAAAGGGAGCTTTCATCTCCTAGTTCTCTCCCCAGATGGTTACAACTGCTGGGGGTGGTTTAGGCCAAAGTCAGGAACCAGAAGCTTCTTCTGGGTCTTCCGTGTGGTTGGAGGCACCCAAGCACTTGGACCATCTTTCACTGATTTCCCAGGCCATTAGCAGAGCCCTGAGTCAAGAGTGGGTCTTGAACCATCCCAAATGGAATGCCATTGTCACAGCAGCAGCTTAACCCCTTCTGCCATGATTATAGCATTTTAAAATAAATACTGGGTGATCCATTTTCAGTTGAATCAATTCACAGTACTCTGTCTTTTGTTCTCTGACATGCCAGGTTTATTATAAAGGTCAATTGGGCAGAGCTACTGCATTAAGTGTAACTCCTGAAATGGAAAGAGTAAAGAAGAATCAAGAAAACCTCAGCTCGGCAAGTGGTTTTATTCCTTTGGACTACCACAAAATGTATCCTTTATTATTCACTTATAGTCCTATTTTTTCTTGTGCAATAAGTGACTTTCAGGAACTGTTGGTGATATGTCTGATAAGTCCAAGCATTTTTTTCAGATGACTTCCAAAAGCCACTGCTCTATATGAATTGACATTTTTCTAATATGTCCAGATGTGGCTGACAGTTAAACTTTACTTGTGAGTGATACTACATTTATAACTGTAATTAATGTTATTTCTACAAGTCTTTTTGAAAGTGATGAAGTCTTTGGTGTGCACGCTTAACAATTGCTGTTTTACTGAGAAATTATATTGACTGTGTGGATTGTTGAAATGTTCTCTGCCAAACATAGGAAATGAGTCATTAACCCAAAGTAAGGACTTGGAATACATGCCCTGATATATCTGATTTGGGTTTTCGTTGCTCACAAGAGTCCCCTGGTGGATATCAGTGCCTTCTTTAGATAATAAGCTTCAGGGCTTCAACACTGAATTCTGCATGTGTCCTCAGGTTAACAGTAGGTGGTATCCTAGCCAAACATGTAGTCAGACTAACCAGTGGTAGTGTTCTCCTGGTCAGCTGTCCAGAATACAAGCCCAGTTTGTAGCATACCTTGAAGTACTCTGGTCTTGGGTACTGTCATTTAGGCTTCAGAGTTGACAGTTTTCTAGTTGTCTTTCTGTTCAGAGCTGTCAAATGCATTTAACCTGAATCACCCTTAAGCTGTAGCTATTTAGAAGGAAAACTAGATTTGTTTTTTCATGGTTCGTCATTCTTTAAAAAGGGGGAAAAAAACGAAGGAAATAAAGAATAGGCTGCAACACAGGTAAAGCAGAAAGTGGAGAAATTTAGATGCAGAGAATAGATTTGGGATCTATTTAATTTTGGATTTCCCCTGTTAAATTGAAGCATGAGAACCATTTTCCCCCTGGATTTCACATACTGATTTTCAGTGGAGAGAATTAGCTCATTTTTTCTAATAGCCTGCAAAGGAGATCTTACTTCAATTTTAGATTGCAATTCTGGGACAAAATGTGATTCACTGATAAAGTTACTTGATGACTAGTTTTTAGAATGCTTTCTATGTTTGTTTCATTTGGAAAGCTTAAAAAATGATCATTTTCATGTTTCTTATTCATTCCACAGATAAAATACACCCAGGAGCATAAAAAGATGAAAGGTAGACCAAGTTTGATTTTAGATACTCCTAGTCTGAGACATGTGAAAGAAGCTCAAAACCATGTTTCCATGGTAGGGTGCAGCCAGAGCATTCTTCTCATGACTAAAGCATGCTAAGGAGTGTCATAATCCCACGTGCAGTTGACGTTCGTTCACTATTGATCTGGATGACTAACAAAGCATGGACATGCCGACGGACCCATCCTCTGGGGGAGAGGGGGGATGTTCTCACTACACTGAAATGTAATGAAAATGCTTCATCTAATAAAATAAGTTTTTCTCTGAGCCGTTTCTTTGTGTGTATGTGTGTGTGTGTGTGTGTGTTTTTAGCATGAATACCATGTATGCATTTTGTGAAAAGCCTTTGCAGTGAAATTTAAGATGGAGTTTGGCTGTGTTTGCATGTATGAAGACTATGAAAGAAAAGTGTATTTTTGAAAACAATTTTAGGAAGTATAATTAATCTACCGTAAAGTTGACATATTTAAGGTATTTAATTCAGTGACTCCTAATATAATTTAAAGCTATACAACTGTCATACTGATTCAGTTTTAGAAAATGAAAAGATGTGTGTTTTGGATTCTAAATAAATTTTTATAGTATACTTATAAGCATATCACCAGTAACTCTCTTAATCTTATAATAATACCGTTTTCTTGAATACGTGTAAAGTAGCTTATCCATTTACTGCATCTTGAATATTAAAAGACAGAATTATTTTACAATTAAATTAGTATATTTTAAGACTTAGGATTTTAAAATATGTTTTAACACATCTTGCTAATATAGGTTTATATGTCATTTAGAAACATACTAAGTGGACAAAATATGAGAATATTAACACTTGATTCTGGCATTTTTTCAGAGTAAATGGAAAAGACTCGTGAATTTGGAAAATAATCCAAATGTAGCTCACATAAAGACACCTGTCATTTTCTCCAAAGTTTGTGAGAAAGGAATTTGCAACTGAGTTTTTTTTTCAGGTGAAATATCATGAAGACTTTGAGAAGACGAGAGGAAGAGGCTTCACGCCCGTGGTGGATGACCCCGTGACGGAGAGGGTCAGGAAGAACACACAGGTGGTCAGTGACGCTGCCTACAAAGGTGTCCACCCCCACGTGGTGGAGATGGACAGGAGACCCGGGATCATTGTGGGTAAGCTCATGCCCATGCGCACTCCAGGCCTAGGGTCCATCTGCTTTGTTTCTTTTGATTCCTCATCAGATGTTGATGATAAGTGGGAGTCACAACATTTACTAAGTATGGTGGCAAATCCCTTCTGTTATTGAAAGTTCCCTGACTTCAGTCACTTTCAGGTCTTACTTGTGGAAGCAGCAGTCCAGCCATGGGTAATAACAATGGTTGGACAATTATTTTGTGTTCTTTTATCTCATGAATTTGATTAAGATTTTATACTTGGACATTGACTGCATGGTGATGGTAAGAACTATCACACTGAGGTCCTATGACCACAGACATGTGAAAGATACACTAAGGGCATTCTGTGGGATGAATCTCCTATGTTTTCTGAATATTATTTCTGAGCTGGTGTCATTACAAGCCATTATTTCAAGAAGAACCTTCTCTCCCAGCTGTCTTGGTACTGTTGTAGTCAGGCAGGGGACATGTTAGGAGGAGAGTGTTGAATGTGGTTGAGGTAGCAGCAAAGAACAGATTTCAGTGTAAGCTAGAGCTAGAAAAGCAAATTATTGCTTCTTCAATAAATATTCATGATGCCTATGGCTATTGTACCCCACAGAGCCGTTAGCATTTAAACTTCTGAAGCTGGCTCAATTGAGTAGCTCACAGCCTTCGTAATTTCAATGTTAGACTTTTTCGTGTTCAGGAAGGGCCTGTTTGGAGTATGTAGAGTTAAATTGGATGGGGAAGGTGTATTTTACAGGGTGTATCCTAATGAAATGCGGGTTAAGAAAGCCAAGGCCTTAAGCAACTCAGATGATTGCTAAGGTGACTCTGAGAGCTTTTTCCAAGGTACAATTCCAAACATACTTGTGGGCAGTTGATAGCTTTGCTCATCTTCCCAAGCTGATTGCTTTAAAGGATCACATTAAGTTGGATGGATGAGTTGTGATGTTTTCATTCAAAGTATCACTGAATTGGAGAGTTTCATTGCTTTGTATATCCCTAACAGGTAGTACCAAAGTCTGATTTGTGTTTATAAGATGCCCATGTGTGTGTAACTTATCCCCGGATCCTGCACAGATCAGAAAACAAAAATGGTGGGAGATTGTTGCTGAAATTCATTTTGAGATAGAAATTATCATAACTTTTTAAAAAGGAGGTGTGTAATTCTAAAATGTTTACTGAGTAATCTAAACATATTTTTTTTAGTCCTTACTGGGAAAAAAATGGGTTCTATTGAAGATTTGCCTGTGAAAGCACAAAATGGAACTTCCCAGTGAGGCAGCACGTATACCAGACATGGCATGCATGCAAGTTCAGGGATGTTCTGATTGGTTCAGAATAAAGCAGCTTATCCTGCTTCTGGTTTTGGTAGAGTCTGTGCTTCTTGCTAGTTCTGCAGTCTTGGCTGAATTACTCATCTCTCTGTCTCGGTTTCCTCATCTATAAGATGGGGGTAGTAATAATACCTACCTAAATATTTGTGAAGCACGGTAAGCACAACATAATGTAAATTAAAAGAAGACATAAATCTCACAGTCCAATTTACTTCATTTTAATGCGGCCTTCTCGTTAACCATATGTCCAACATGCTTTACATGCCTTAGTTTGCAGTCACAGGGTCAGAATGAAAACTGGCCTTGCCACTTGCCTCCATCTCAAATACATGTTCTTACAGGGGAGGAAGTTTACATGTTGGAAACAAAACATGCTTCCTGTGGGTGACTCCCATATTTTTCACCAGCGATTTCAGTTCAGCTTTTTTACTTCTTTCCTGGGAGGAGAGGAAGAGTGCCAGGGGGCTTTAGGAGATGCTTTGGGCACAGGGCAGAGCTGCTTCCTGGGCTGTGTGATGAGTCGCAGGTGCATCAGCAAGGTGATGCAGCAGGCCCATGAAGCAACCAGACTACAGAGTGATTACAAGATTCCCTGTACAAGTGCTTCTGAAAGTGACTAAATAGCCTTTGGTTCTCCGAGGCCAGCAGCACAGCGGGTTTGCTTTGGGTCTGTTTGTCTTTCACGTGCCTTCCTTTCAGACTTTTGCTTGACTCAACTCTATGCTGTCTTTTTAAAATTCTTCCTTTTTTATTGATTTCTTCCTTTCGGTAAAAGACCTCAAAGTTTGGCGCACAGATCCTGGCTCCATCTTCGACCTTGATCCCCTGGAGGACAATATCCAGTCTAGGAGTCTACACATGCTGTCTGGTACTGCCTACATTTTGACTTCCTGAGAGGGAAGGTTCTGTGAAGTGTAGACATTCATGGCACCAATGTTACAATGTTAATTTCCGAGTTGAGCATCCGAAGAACTGAAAAAGTGCTGTGATGCTTTAAGATACCATTAACCGTGTATGAAAATAATACTTGCAAGAGTTTCTTAGTAAATCTTATATTTGTTTGTCCTTAATTCATTTTAAAAAGGCTTCTAGGGTGGCTAGAGCTTGTATGTGGTTTTTATTAGTAAATAAGAGTTGATGGGCTATCTGAGTTTTTAGATAACATCTATTTGGATTGCTGAGATATGAAAGAATTTGTTTCATTAAATGCATTGCCACAACATTTTAAGACTAGATTCCTAGAATTATGTATAAAGCAGCTGAAAAGATTTCCATATAGTGTTATTAATGTCTTAAAATAGAGACTTAAGTATCCTTAAAATGTATGAGTCTTTTTTAAAGATTCATTTTGTTTTTTTGAAAGGTACAGTTACAAACAGAGGCAAGGAGAGGTCCTTGGACTGCTGATTCACACCCCAAAATCAGCGACAGGTCATGGCTGAACCAGGCAGAAGCTAGGAGTCAGGAGTTTCTACCAGGTCTCCCACATGGGTGCAGATGCCCAAGCACTTGGGCCGTCCTCCACTGCTTTCCCAGGTGCATTAGCAAGGGACTGGATCAGCAGTGGAGTATCGGCACTCCAATCAATCTCCTTATGCAATGCCACTACCACAGCTAGTGGCTTTTCCTGCTGTGCCACAACACTGGCATCTCTTGAGTTTTTGTGAGCAACTTATATAAAAACTTATCTTTTTTTCACCCTAAGGGTCATATGTATCATGAAAGACAAGAAGTGAATGGCTTAGGTAAAGTGACAGTACAATTTGACATTTCAGACTTCTAGGCCGTGTTTATTGAGAATAGCCTGAAAAAACATGGACAACTTTGCAGTTATTTTAGACAATCCATATACTATGGATTTATATCATGTCATCTCATTTAAATCTTATTCCACATCCTGACTTCTGCTCTTTATTAATTATAGAGGTTGGGCCCAGCGTGATGACACAGTGGGTAGGGTCCTTGCCTTGCACGCCCAGGATCCCATGTGGGCACCAGTTCTAGTCCCGGCAGCTTCACTTCCCATCCAGGTCCCTGCCTGTGGCCAGGGAGGGCAGTCGAGGACGGCTGGAGCTGAGCCAATCCGAAGCCAGGAGCCTCCTCCAGGTCTCCCACGCGGGTGCAGGGTCCCAAAGCTTTAGGCCGCCTGGGAAGTGAATCATCGGACAGAAGATCTTCCTCTCTGTCTCTCCTCTCTGTATATTCGCCCTTCCAGTAAAAATTAAAAAAAAAATCTTTAGGTCACTTTTGGAGTTGATGTAATGCATGCTGAAGTTAGGGAGTAGCTGACTGGAAGAACTTGATAATGAATGAGATTTTTGGCTATCCTTTCATTAGAGATCATTTCCCTTCCCCATTTTACCTATGAATAATTTTTATTGGCGATGTTCTTTAAGTCTCTTAAACTCAAATGTGAATATTTTCCCTCCAACATAGAAAAGGCAAGTCACTATAGGAGACAGCGGTCTCGCTCTCATTCCAGCAGCACTTTTGGTACAGGTCTGGTTGATGACAAGTCTGAAATCTCGGAGATTTACCCGAGCTTTTCGTGCAGCAGTGAGGTCACAAGGCCATCTGACGACGGAGGTATCAGACATTAACCATTTGCTGAGATAATTCATTTTTTTGAATGTGTCACAAGAGTGCCTTTAACACATATCCACTTCTGTACAAACATTTAGCTTGGATGTGTTTGACGTGTTAATATAAACATTAGAAAATCAAGAATCTTTTCCTTAAAACTACTAATTTGCATTTTGCATGTTGTTATTTTCCCTGTCTGACCTCATCGTTATCATTGTAGCTGGATCTGTAATGACAAAGGGGTGTTGACGTTTGCTTCATTGAGTGTGTTTCACAGCCATTGCATAGGATTTAGTCACAATTTGTATCTGATTTTCATTAAGGGAACAAAATCGGTCTTTACATTAATATTGAAGTGACTTGCTGAGTTTTTAAATATTGGTACAGATTTTCAAAAAATGTTAGAGCTTGTCAAAAAGAAATTGGGTACAATACTTGGGGTATGAGATTTTTTTAAAAAGGAAATTAGTATTGGAGTTATTCTTTATTTCATGTAGCCATCTTTTTCTATGTCTTTGCCTGTTTCCTGCATGTATCTGGTTAGGTTTTGAATTATAGACGTTTTAGGATTCTAAAGTAATCCTGTTGGTAAAACTGTTATGGAAGGTTAAGACCTGAATGTTACATTATGGTTTAGAGGGGAAGAGGAGAGGAATGGAGTGTACATGAATGAAAGGAATACCGGATTTCCTTTTCAATCACAAAGGTCAGATTACTGAGATCCCTAAGTCAGGAAATTTTGGGGATGAGCAAGTGGCAGGGAAAAGTAGTGTCACTCACGACATAAGAGAACCATGAGAACTTGTGATTATGTAATAGGATTTTTTACATTCATTATAACAAAACACTAATAAGAGTAATTATACTGTACATGTCTTGAATTGTAAAATCAAACTGGCCTTAGTTTGGTAGAAAAATGTTAAGGCCTTTCTAAAGAAAGAGTTATAAACTACTTTTGCTTTGTTAGAGGTCGAATACACCTGAGGACATCGTAGTTCTCTAAGAAAAGGTTCTTTAATTCGTGTTTGGATTTATGTTACTGATTTCTTCCTTCATTGTCCTTCATGCTGTTTGGAGATACGTAAAAATGTTGCTGCTTAATAATATAAGTGAGAATCAAAGTAAACACAAGGACTAATGTTGATGAACTTTATTTAATTTTACTCAGTTTAGTGTTCTGGAATTGTGGCTCTAATGTACCAAAGAGCAGAGGAGCCTCACTATCTTTGACTTCGTGTCTGTGCACACCAACACTGTTCTCATTCATTTATTCATTGGATGTTTTTTTGTGTGCTCCTGCGCACCAACCACAGATTTTCTTCTGACAGTACGTACATCATTGGGCAAGGAAGCATGACTTCATTGTAAGGGATTTGAAGTATGGTGAGAGCCTGAAAGCAAGCAGCTCATTGGACGAGTTACATGTGAGGATGAACAGAGTCGGTACTAGGAGGTGATGGAATGGGAGGTACATGGAATTTAACAGGGAAATTTTGTCTGGGTTTGATGGAACTTTCAAGGGAGGGATGATTGAGTTGAGATGTGAATGCTAATGGAAGAAGAGTTCCACTTATCTATACCTTTACTTTGAAAGAAAGTATAGATATTCTTGCATTTATACCTAAATTTGAGAAGCACATGATTAAGAAGGAATAATTCTGTTTTTTTTAATGGGATAGTTTCAGGCTTGTTGGAATGAATAGGAGAGAGAAATCTGGCAATCAAAATTGTCTCGAGGATTCATATAATTCCTGTGATCTAAGGAGATGTTGAATCTTAGAGGAATTTATAAGCGTCTGTCTCAGTTGCTTGTATGAGACCAAGCTTCTCTGTCTAATGGGTATGTCCTGTTTTTGAAAGTAGCATGAGGCAAAAGTTATCAATTACCAATAATACAGCACACACACACAAGTGAAAATTTGTCCAAAAATATTGATGTTGTGAAGACTTTAGGGTACATGGGAATATGATGCCTGATTGCATTTCTTTTAAATAAAGCAAAGCACAGTGTACCAGGTGGCACTTGTATTTTTTTTTCGGATGATTAGTGACATCTCACATTTATGTGCTCAAAATCGCCTCCTCTATCTCTATCCTCTGCCACCCATTCCAAAATATGCAATTTTCCTGGGAAGCCAACTGCAGCTTCCATATCAAATTCTTGGGAGTTCGGTACAACTTTTCTCATCCACTAGCAAATCTTGTCAACTATACTATGACAAACAGGTCAGGAACCTGACACATGTCCCTTCTGACTCTGCACCACCCTGGTATCCACTCCTGCCCTCTAGCTCTCTTGGTGGATCATAATCCCTCCTGACCGGTTTTCCTGCTTCTGCCCTTGCCTTTCCTGGTGGCAACAATTCCTGCCCTGATCTCTCCCCTGCCTCCCACTGGCATGAGATGACTCATGTCACCCTCCTACCGTTTCGCTCTGAAATGGCTCACAGGATCAATATGGGATTTTCACCTTGGTGGCAGTCCAGACTCATTTCTTACATCTTGAGTGCACACATCCTCTTTTCCTAGTTCTTGCTTTACTCAGACTTTCCAAGAAGCACCCAGGCTGTGTACTCTCTGTGCCTTTTGCCAGGAGTACTCTTCACCCCAGATGTTTACTGCCCAGCCCGATTCATGTTTCTGGCTGGATAGCACTTCTGCAGAGAGACGTTCTCCAGCTGTCAGATGAACTAGCCTGTCCCTCACTCTGTTCCTTTTTTTTGTTGATTTTTGCTTTGCAGTTTCCCTGAACTATGTTGAATATTTGCTTCCCCATCTCTGCCTTGTTAGACTGCGTGTCCTATGAGAGCAGGCGTAGTGACTCTTTTGCTTACTGTAGGGTCTCCAGCTCTTGGAATGGCTCTCAGCAAATATTTGGTGAAAGTTGAAGTGGCAGAATTAATATTGAAAAGATTCATATATAAATATGTGTGAGTACAATAATATGTATATATAAACTACAGGCCTGTTGTGGACAGCTTTTAATTTCAAGGGAATGATGTTTTTCTTTGGATGATGTTTTGACGTGTGAATGACATGAAAGCATAGGCAACAAGACAATGAAAAGTAGAAACATTCCTGCTGATTTGTTCTGTTTTCTGCTGGGAAGGGAAGCAGTGGTATTGATGATTTCTCGGAGGCTTTGAAATCCTGGGCTGCGGTAGGGAGGCTCAGATTGACTCTGCAGACAGAGGTCTGTGGTGTTGAGAGCTGCTTGATGACAGTCTTTGGTGTCTTCAGCTGTATAACAGTCCGTTACATGCGTTTGTCTAAATGAAAGAGAATTTTGTAGCCATATTTGTTAGGGGTTAGATGAAGAAAAGAAGAAAATGTTCTTACATGTTTAGAAATGCTGCTTTTCTTTCCTGTTTGTGTTGATTCCTCTAGGTTAGGAGTCCATGTGATAAAATGTGATATATGCCTGGGAATCTCTTTGTCCTCCAGGATTTGCCCCACTTGCCTTGAGTTCTCCACGGGGTCCTTCAGCTGCCTTAAGGCTCAGATTTCACATCAGTTACAAGAAGAATGTACAACAAGCAGCTTTCTGAGATAGGATGTTTCCTAAGTGACGTGCCGTCAATTTGAATAAGCATTTCCCTGCTTTTCTATGTTTGAGAATATGTGCATGTTCTAATTATAGCTTGATTTACTTCATAAATTAAAGGCTGGGCACTTAGGAGAGTCACAGTGTTAGAGGAAATTCTGGTGGTTGGGGCAGGGCTAGGCAGCTCATTTCCCAGAGGCCAGGCTCCAGTGGTTCCCTCCCTCACATTTGGTTTTCATGAGCATTAACACTGAAGCCTTTCCCTTTATGTTCTTATCATGGTTTTAGTTATGTGTGTCTCATGATATTTTCCCATCTTGCTTTGATTGCTGACTCTTCTCATCTGATGTGATGACTTTGGACCTTCTTTTGCCTCGACTTTCCAATGGATTAAGTTACCAAAGGGTTTTGTTTTACATCTCTACCGTGTTACTCTGATTCGGTAACAGAGGCCTTCGTTTTAACTTCATCCACTTTTGCTTTGATTTTTTAAAAATAATATCGTTTGAAATGATCTTTAATACCTCTTGGGATTAGATTAGTTTAACTTAGTTTTTGCCTAACACACAGTTCCTGGAGTGACAATAGTCCTTCCGGCTTCTGCCTATTCTGCTGTGTTTTCTTTGGTCTTTGTTCATCTTCTGTTCCCTTGCCTGCAACATGGATCTACCTCCTGGCACTACTTTGTTTTTGTTTTTTCTTTGCTTTTCCATACCTGGCAGGTTTCTGTCATTGCAAGTATTTTTAGATGTTTGCCATCTGCCTGCATGTCCACTCTCCTCAGTTTGAACTTATGTTCAGTTTTGCTGAAAGTATTTTATGTGTTTCTGTTTTTCTCTGGAGCATAAAAGGGTCTGGGAGTGTGACAGGGAATGAAAAACAGATGTTTCTTTCAAAACAGACTTTTTCTATTTTCTAACCTGGTGAACTTGTCCATGTTGCTGAGGAAGAATCTAATAGGGACAGGCTAGTCCTGCTTTAACTGAAAGCAGGTCTGAGTTCTCTGGCAGTTTAACTCACTGTGTCAGGGCTTTGCACATCACTCCATGTAACATGTCTTCAAGAAATGCTGCAGCACATTCAGGATTTCACAGTGTATTGTGCGTAGCATGCCGGGAGGCAATCACAGAGTTAATTGCTGTGGCATTTCCCGACACCTGTGACTCCATTCATTCATCCACAGTTTAGTACTATCTTTACGTGTGAGCATGTGAGTTGCTAGGGACATAACACAAAAGATGCCATTATTGTCTTCAGAAAGCACTCTAGTGGGTGGATGAGCCAGATGCACAAAACCATTTAACTCAGAAAGGCATTATGATGGGGTATTGCAGTGGGTCAATTGTAGTCAGCCAGTTAAAGGAATGTTAAAGGAGAGTATTAGACAGGAAAACAGCCTGCGACAGAGCATGGCGTATTGGGAAGTTGATATAATGGACAACAGAGCCCACAGTCCAAG